AGGAGCAGGGGAATTTGAATTGCCCCAGTGGCGGCGGGTGCATGCACGAGTCGCAGGTGTGCGACGGCAAGCCGCATTGCTCCGACGGCAGCGACGAGTCGCCCGACTTCTGCCGCGAGTTCGACTGCGAGATCGTTCGCAAGGTGCTTGCGTGCTGCTTCAAACTTCGGACCTCGGTGGCACCGCCGCTTCCTGAACGCTTTCCTTCCTCGCTTTCTAACTTGGATTTCACGTTCTGGTTACTCTCTGCCCATTGTTGAGGCGCCCGCCTGAGTACGGTGCTTCAGAGTCAGGCTCAAAGCCGCAACTCCTTCTCACCCCTTTCCCCTCTCCCCCCAGGTCTTCTGCTCCACGCTCACTGCTTTTGCATGCCTGTTTTTGAGGCGCCTAAGAAATGCGGTGTTCTAGAGTCAGACCCACAGGATCTCCTTCCCTCCCCTTTCCTGCTGTTTTACCACCCTTTACCCCCGCACCAGGTGTCGTGCCCCACGCTTACCGCTGCATGCCCCAGGCGGGCGAGTGCAACGGCGTGGCGGACTGCGCGGACAGCCGCAACTCTTTCCCCCAACCTTTTCCTTTTTTCTCCTTTTCCCTCGTTTCCCCATTGGGTCCGCCAGGTGTCGTGCCCCACGCTCACGGGTGCATGCCCCCGGGCAGCGTGTGCAACGGCGTGGCGGACTGCGCGGACGGCAGCGACGAGGGGCGGCAATGCCGGCAGGGCTACCAGGACGACAGCTACTACTGCGCCGACCAGGGCCTCGAGCAGTGCCCCTCCGACCGCTACGCGTGCCTGCGCCAGGAGGATTACTGCGACGGTTACGAGACGTGCTACGGGTACGACGAGGCGAATTGCGAGAAGCACGTGTGCTCGTTTGGGATGATCCAGTGCCCCAAGACGTTCTACTGCGCGTGGGGGACGCTCTGTGACGGCGTGCAGGACTGTGTGATGACTGCTGAGGCTGAGGATGAGGATAAGGCGTTTTGTAGCGGGTATAGCTGCCCGGAGGGGTTTAAGAAGTGTGCGGATGGGTTGCAGTGCGTGGCGGAGGGGTTGTTTTGCGACGGGACGGTGAATTGCAATGATGGGAGTGACGAAGGGGCGGCGACGTGTGCTGTGAACCCCCCTGCTGGGGGTGGAACAGGCGCCGTTACCACTCCTCCTCCTCCTCCTGAGACTGGATCTGGTTCGTCTGGAAGCGGCACTACCACTCTCCTCCTGCTCCTCCTACTCCTACTGCTACCCCTGGTGGCGGTAGCGGCAGCGGCAGTGGGGGTTCAACTGGGTCGTCTGGAGGCACTGTGGTGCTGAGTGCTGAAGAAGTGGCGAGGCAGAGGAAGGAAGCAGCGGCTCGGAGGGCGGCTGCTGTTGCTGCCAAGAAGAGAGCTGCTGCTGCTAAGCATGCTGCTGTGGAGGCACGGCGGGCGAAGCAGGCGGCGAAAGCAGCTGCGATTGCTGAGAAGAAGAAGAAGCAGGAGGAGAAGGCGGCTGCTGTTGCGGAGAAGAAGAGGCTTCAGGAAGCTAAGGCGGTTGCTATTGCTGAGAAGAAGAGGAAGCAGGAGGAAAAAGCGGCTGCTATTGCTGAGAAGAAGAAGAAACAGGAAGAGAAGGCTGCTGCCATTGCTGAGAAGAAGAGGAAGCAAGCAGAAAAGGCGGCTGCAATTGAGGCTAAGAAGAAGAAGCAGGCTGAGAAGGCTGCGGCGCTAGAGGCTAGGAAGGAGAGGGAGGCTGCACGGGCAGCAGCTGCGACCAAGTGAAGGGGAACCGACAAATAATATGTAATAATACGTTTTTGTATCGTGCATATGTTGCTTTCCTGTAACATGGTGTCAAAAAAATTTGTCTTGCTGTTTTGTTTTTTTGTTTTGTTTTGAAGTTGGTGCAATCTCAATCAGTCAAGTACCATAATCATACCAGAACAAGTGCACCAGCAGCACAAAGAGCCACGTAGAGCCATAACAAGAAGGCTCTGTGACCTTACTTACACTCGAGAAGAACTAGAGCCATATTTTAAAGAAGGGGAACAGAACAGGCAGGCTACAGTATTTCTCCTCTCTTTTGTTTCACAGAATAAGCCGGCCATGTGCATCCCAGGTCTACTACTGTACGCCTTGCCCTTCATGGATCGCTTCTTGGCGATGCTGCCATCCTCCTGCCGGTAGTCGGGGAAATAGTCCAGGAAGGCCTTGGTGCCGAGCTCGTGGGACCCCGCAAACAGGAACCCCTCGATGAACTCCTGGCAGGGGGTGAGGATGGGGTGGGGGAGGTGGTGGGGGTGGGGGGTTGAAGGTGGAGACAATTAGTCCAGGAAGGCCTTGGTGCACAGCTTGTGAGACCCCGCAAGCAGACCCTTCAATAAGCTCGTGGCAGGGGGACGAGAGGGCAGAAGGGAAGGGAAGGAGGGTGAGAGTGGACAGGAGGGTGAGAGTGGACAGGAGGGTGAGAGTGGACAGAGGGTGAGAGTGGACAGGAGGGTGAGAGTGGACAGGAGGGTGAGAGTGGACAGGAGGGTGAGAGTGGACAGGAGGGTGAGAGTGGACAGGAGGGTGAGAGTGGACAGGAGGGTGAGAGTGGACAGGAGGGTGAGAGTGGACAGGAGGGTGAGAGTGGACAGGAGGGTGAGAGTGGACAGGAGGGTGAGAGTGGACAGGAGGGTGAGAGTGGACAGGAGGGTGAGAGTGGACAGGAGGGTGAGAGTGGACAGGAGGGTGAGAGTGGACAGGAGGGTGAGAGTGGACAGGAGGGTGAGAGTGGACAGGAGGGGTGAGAGTGGACAGGAGGGTGAGAGTGGACAGGAGGGTGAGAGTGGACAGGAGGGTGAGAGTGGACAGGAGGGTGAGAGTGGACAGGAGGGTGAGAGTGGACAGGAGGGTGAGAGTGGACAGGAGGGTGAGAGTGGACAGGAGGGTGAGAGTGGACAGGAGGGTGAGAGTGGACAGGAGGGTGAGAGTGGACAGGAGGGTGAGAGTGGACAGGAGTGGGGGGGGAGAAACGTCTTGCTGCCCAGCTCGTGCGACCCTGCAAACAGTAACCCTTCTATGAACTCCTGGCAGCGGGGGGATCAGGTAAAAGCAAAAGGGAAAAGGTCGCAGAAAAATATTGTCACAGAGAGACAGTGAGCATGGATAGTCTGAGCAGAGGAGAATGATCAGGATGATCCTGAGAATGCATCAAAGGGAGTTGGAAAAAGCATGACACAGAGAAAGAGGGGTCAGTGAGGGGGACCCTCAAGAGTTGACTTTTGAGTCGACTCAAAAGTTCAAGAAAGAGGGGTCAGTGAGGGGGGACACTCAAGAGTTGACTTTTGAGTCGACTCAAAAGTCAAGAAAGAGGGGTCAGTGAGGGGGGACCCTCAAGAGTTGACTTTTGAGGTCGACTCAAAAGTCAAGAAAGAGGGGTCAGTGAGGGGTACCCTCAAGAGTTGACTTTTGAGTCGACTCAAAAGTCAGAGAAAGAGGGGGTCAGTGAGGGGGACCCTCAAGAGTTGCAGGTGAACTGGAAGGAGGCCGATGGCAGAAACGGATTGGCGGGGGCGAACTCACCTCACATCGCTCAGAGCCAAACAGGCGCGTTAAAAGTGGCCGCCCGGGGTCCTGGATGGGAGTGGGTGGACGGGTGAATGAGTGAATGAGTGATTGGGTGAATGTGTGAGTGTGTGAATCAGTGAGTGAGTGAGCGAGTGTGTGAATCATGGATTAGGTGATTGTGTGTGGACAGGTGGAGGAACGATAAAGAGAGGAGAGCGGGAGAGAGAAAGAGACGGAGGGGAGAGAGAAGAGAGGGAGTAAGGCTGGTGAAAGGAAGACCAGTGAGATGCGGGAGACAAGATACCCGTTAACAGCATCTCCTTCACTGTGTGCGCCAGCAATAGTGAAGGGAACACAAAACCCAGCAAGGCCCTTACCTTGACAGAGCGCCAGCAGATGTAGCGGTGCTGTGACTCCATGTTGTGTGCCATGACTGCTGGGTCGCTGGTGGGCTCACATGCCTCTACCATGCGCAACCATGCCTGCACATAGTAGGGATGGAAAAGAGCAGGGTGAAGGGCAGTGGGGGAGTGGGGAGTGGGGAGTGGGGAGTGGGGGGGGAGAAAGGCAGTAGCTCGTGGGCTCACAAGCGACTACCATGCGCAACCATGCCTGCACGCGACAGAGGGAAGAGAAGGGCTCGGGGGAGGGGGGGTAGGGGAAAGGGGTAGGGGAAAGGGGTAGGGGAAATGGAGGAGGAGACAGGCAGATGCCATGACTGCTGGGTTGCTGGTGGGCTCACATGCGTCTTCCATGCGCAGCCATGCCTGCTTGCAGTAGGGAGGGGAGAGAGCAGGGGGGTAGGTGTAAGGGAAGGGGAAAGGAGTAAGGTGCCAGAATAAACGGTCGCTGGTGGGTTCACATGCGCCTACCATACACAGCCACGCTTGCATGCAGTGAAGGGAGGGGAAGGAGGGGATGTTCACAAAGACGCACGGAGGACGCACGGCGATTTTTTTTCTGGGCTGCCGGAAAAAAAATTCCGATCGCGAAATTTCGCCCCCCCTTGCCCAAATCGCCATTCTAAAACAGCCCCCCCAACATTTCATAACCCTTCATGCAAATTTAAAATTCTCAAACCTCTCAACCACTTCACATCTACAAAACACACACACACACACGCACGCACGCACGCACGCACGCACGCACGCACGCACGCACGCACGCACACACACACACACACACTCCAAAAGCACAAAGTCACTTTTGAGTCGACTCAAAAGTCACCAAAAGCACAGCACACTCCCTGCCATCATTTTCTCCACGGTTGAAATCAGTTGGTTTCGATCCGCAGCAAGCCTACTAAGAGTTCCCGAATGTTCTATAGCATACTCCCTGCCATGATGTCTTTTAGATGTCCCAAAAAGTACACCTTAAACAAGTGCCAACCATGACTTGTTGAGTCAGCCACGCACCTGCAGGTACTCCTTGAAGGCGGGCAGCACGTGGGCAGTGACGTCAGCATCTAGGGGCAGCTTTGCCCAGAGGAGAGCCGGGGAGAAGAACTGAAGCGACTCCGCAGTGAACTCGCCGCCCCATGGCAGGTGCTGCAGGGAGGGTGTGGGAGGAAGTGAAGGGAGGACAGTGACAGGAGGGAGCTGTGAACGCATTCCCCCATGGCAGGTGCTGGTAGTGGCAGGTGCTGGTAGTGGCAGGTGCTGGTAGTGGCAGGTGCTGGTAGTGGCAGGTGCTGGTAGTGGCAGGTGCTGGTAGTGGCAGGTGCTGTAGTGGCAGGTGCTGGTAGTGGCAGGTGCTGGTAGTGGCAGGTGCTGGTAGTGGCAGGTGCTGGTAGTGGCAGGTGCTGGTAGTGGCAGGTGCTGGTAGTGGCAGGTGCTGTAGTGGCAGGTGCTGGTAGTGGCAGGTGCTGGTAGTGGCAGGTGCTGGTAGTGGCAGGTGCTGGTATGCTGGTAGTGGCAGGTGCTGGTAGTGGCAGGTGCTGGTAGTGGCAGGTGCTGGTAGTGGCAGGTGCTGGTAGTGGCAGGTGCTGGTAGTGGCAGGTGCTGGTAGTGGCAGGTGCTGGTAGTGGCAGGTGCTGGTAGTGGCAGGTGCTGGTAGTGGCAGGTGCTGGTAGTGGCAGGTGCTGGTAGTGGCAGGTGCTGGTAGTGGCAGGTGCTGGTAGTGGCAGGTGCTGGTAGTGGCAGGTGCTGGTAGTGGCAGGTGCTGGTAGTGGCAGGTGCTGGTAGTGGCAGGTGCTGGTAGTGGCAGGTGCTGGTAGTGGCAGGTGCTGGTAGTGGCAGGTGCTGGTAGTGGCAGGTGCTGGTAGTGGCAGGTGCTGGTAGTGGCAGGTGCTGGTAGTGGCAGGTGCTGGTAGTGGCAGGTGCTGGTAGTGGCAGGTGCTGGTAGTGGCAGGTGCTGGTAGTGGCAGGTGCTGGTAGTGGCAGGTGCTGGTAGTGGCAGGTGCTGGTAGTGGCAGGTGCTGGTAGTGGCAGGTGCTGGTAGTGGCAGGTGCTGGTAGTGGCAGGTGCTGGTAGTGGCAGGTGCTGGTAGTGGCAGGTGCTGGTAGTGGCAGGTGCTGGTAGTGGCAGGTGCTGGTAGTGGCAGGTGCTGGTAGTGGCAGGTGCTGGTAGTGGCAGGTGCTGGTAGTGGCAGGTGCTGGTAGTGGCAGGTGGCTGGTAGTGGCAGGTGCTGGTAGTGGCAGGTGCTGGTAGTGGTGGGAGAGTATTGTGGGTGTGGGGGTTGTGGGGGGTGTGGGGGTTGTGGGGGGTGTGGGGCGGAGAGGGAACGTTGTGAGAGATGTCTTTGGAGATAGCTTGCCCCAGAGGAGTGCCGGAGAGAAGAAGTGCCCGTGGGGGGGGGAGGGGAGGGATAAAAAGGAGGAGATTAGAAGAGATGGGAGGAGGAGAGGAGGGAAGGAAAGACAAAAGGAAGCGGGGCGGAAGGGAGATGTAATATTGTGATTGATGAAACAGCACCTCAGTCCACGCCATACCAGTCAACAGACAGTAGCACATATGACCGCACAGAACCACAAAGCAACACACAGCACCGCACATTCGCCTACCTCGCATCTCTACCTGGAGATACTCGTTCCACATCAGGCATGATGCGCGCAATGGACTTGATAAATTGCTCCTCGCGCAGCACCACACAGCACCACACACACTATTTCATGGCTCTTCCTAAATATACCTGGGCTTGATGGGCGCAATGCCCTTGCTGAAACGCTTGTAACACACACACACACACACACACACACACACACACACACACACACACACACACACACACACACACACACACACACACACACACACACACAATCCACACAGCACCGCACAGTACCACCCACATATACCAGCTGTGCTGTACCTCGATGTGCTTGTTGGCAATGGGCATAATCGGCGCAATGTACTTGCTGAAATGCTCAAAAGACACAGCACCACACAGCACCGCACAGCAATGCCCTCTACCTCATAGCACTACCTCGATGTACTTGTTGGCGATGGGCATGATGGGCGCAATGTACTTGCTGAAATGCTGCTCACTCTGATGCAATGGGTTGAGATCCCTGCACGGCAGTAAGGGAGGGGGAATCCAGGAGGAGGGGTGGTTGGATAGAGATACGATACACGAAGAGGGGACAAGGAAACGTAGCACAGCGAGTAATAGAGAAGAAGGTAGCAGAGATAAAGCGACTGCCGAGAAACATCGGGACCGTGCCACTCACTACCGCTGAGTAATAATGCTGAGGTACCATTCAGTGTCACAAAGGTACCACGCAGCACCGCTGATCACCACTAAGCACAAAGCACACACACACAGCACGATGAGCATGGCCCGTGGGAAGATGACAAGGTTGGCACAGAAGTAGCGCAGAAGGCTGAGGCACCGCGCAGCACCACTGGCTACCGTTGAGCACCACATTGAACACTTGCAGATGATGAGGTGGCCCTGGGCGGAAGTGACGAGGTCCGCCCAGAAGTACCACTCAGGACCGCTGGCTACCGTTAAATACTGCACAGGGCACTTACAGCACGATGAGGTGGTGTGGCCCTGGGCGAAGGTGACAAGGTCGGCACAGAAGTACCACCTAGTACCGCTGGCTACCGTAAAGCACCGCACTGGATACTCACAGCACGATGAGGTGGCCCCAGGGGAAGGTGACCAGGTCGGCACAGAAGTATGGCAGGTCGTACTCGGGGCGGGGGAAGGCTATCAGGTTCAGCACCTGTGTGTGTTGGGAGGGGGGGAGGAGAGGGCGTAAAAGGGAGGAATGGGATGTTACAGGCCCCTTGAAACAGAAGTATGGCAGGTCGTACTCAAGGCGAGGGAAGGCTATCAGGTTCAGCACCTGTGTGTGTTGGGAGGGGGGGAGGAGAGGGCGTAAAAGGGAGGAATGGGATGTTACAGGCCCCTTGAAACAGAAGTATGGCAGGTCGTACTCGGGGCGGGGGAAGGCTATGAGGTCCAGCACCTGCATTTCACATGTGTGTGTCGTGTGGGGAGAGGGGACGGAGTAAAGGGAGGAAGGAGGGATCGGGTGTGACAAAACCAGGTCGGCACACAAGTATGGCAGGTCGTACTCGGGGCGGGGGAAGGCTATGAGGTTCAGCACCTGTGTGTGCAACAAGAGTGTGTGCGTTAGGAGGGAATGGGAGAGGTCGAGGGATGGGATGTTAGAAGGCACTCCCAATGGAAGTATGGCAGATCTTACCTCGGGGCAGGGGAAAGCTATCAGGTTCAGCACCTACTTTTTTCCACGTACCGCCCCAAACCTCTCACTGCTCTGCTTCCTGCACCAAGTCCCACGGTTCCACCCACCTACCCCAACGTGCGCCCAGCGCTGATACCGGCGGAGCGCATGGGGCGGATCCGCACTAACTGCCACGCTGCCAGCCATGATGCCATTACTACTACCACATACCATGCTCATCATTGCTACCACATGCCATGCCCATCACTGCTACCACATGCCATGCCCATCACTGCTACCACATGCCATGCCCATCACTGCTACCACATGCCATGCCCATCACTGCTACCACATGCCATGCCCATCACTGCGCTGCTCTGCTCTGCTCCTTGCCAGGGCTCCCTTGCTCACCTGCAATGTGCGCCCGGCGCTGATGTCAGCGGAGCGCATGAGGCGGATCTTGGGCGCACTCACTGCCACGCTGCGACAGAACGCCTTCCCCCCCTCGCCGTCACTGCCCTCCAACACCTGCCAGTCCGACTGGCGAAAAGGGGGAGAGGGGGCGAGAAGGAGACTATTTTGAGTTAAATTCCCCCCCCTAACCATCACTGCCCTCCAACACGTGCCAGTCCGGCTGGTGTGAAGAGAGGTGTGGGGGGCCCAGAGAGAAGGAAACATGAGGCGTTCCACTCCCCCCCGTGTTGTCACTAACCTTCAGCGCCTGCCAAATCCGGCTGGGAGTGGGGAAAGAGGGAGAGGAGAGGGAAGACGAGGGGGGTGGGGAGGGGGTGGGAAAGAACTAGGTAATAGGCGAACGTGGTGAAGGTATTGACGGAAAGAGGACTGAGAAGGTATTGACGGAAAGGGGCCTGAGAATGTATTGATGGAAAGGGGACTGAGAAGGTATTGACGGAAAGGGGGCTGAGAAAGTATTGACGGAAAGGGGACTGAGAAGGTATTGACGGAAAGGGGACTGAGAAGGTATTGACGGAAAGGGGGCTGAGAAAGTATTGACGGAAAGGGGACTGAGAAGGTATTGACGGAAAGGGGACTGAGAAGGTATTGACGGAAAGGGGACTGAGAAGGTATTGACGGAAAGGGGACTGAGAAGGCATTGACGGAAAGGGGACTGAGAAGGTATTGACGGAAAGGGGACTGAGAAGGTATTGACTGAGAACAACAGCAATTACCTCACACCATGCAAAGCTGAAAGCCAAAAACTGAGAGCACGTGTTACATACCCGTACGGGGATGGGCGAGAGCGGCATGTGCTGACCTGGCCTCCACACAGTGGTTTTTTAGTCGACTCAAGAAGAACGCACACCCCACACCATGCAAACCAGAGAGCACGTGTTACATACCCGTACGGGGATGGGCGAGAGCGGCATGTGCTGACCCATGGCCTGCACACAGTGCTCCACAAACTCTGTATACAGTCCCCTCTCCCTCTCCCTCTCACTCCCTCCCTCACTCTCTCCCCCTCTGCTTCCCACCTCCGCTTCCGCTCCTGCGCCCCTTCCGCCGCTCTGCTCCCCCTCCCTCTCCTTCAATACTGTCACATTCCCCTGCGGCGGGCTGCTGGCCGCACTAGAAGCACCTTCCGCGCTTTCACCTCCGCCGCGCGCGGCGGAAGCACGCGCGCATCCCGCCCTGTGGCTACGAGGCGTGCGACTGCGAAGTTGGTCGCTCGCGCGCAGTGCGCGGAGCTGGTGTGCTGCGCGCGCCAAGGCAGGCCGCGGAAGCGGAAGGCGGAACTTTGGGGTGCCGTACGAAGTGCAAGACAGGACGACGGGCGTGGGTAGTGGGAGTCTTTTCGTGAAACGCCCTGAAACGAGTCGTACATTGCTAGTTGGCGTCGCCGCGGACGGCGCTGGGAAGGCCAATGGCATCATGGCGTTAGGCGGAGTGGAAGCAACGGAAAATTAGGAGATAACACGCGCTGCAAGCTGGTTTTCTGAGAATTCTCAAATCCACGCGCCGCGTTAGGCGCACTTTCCAATGCACCGCCCCGACGCACTGTACGCGTGTTAGGACGCCTTAAATCTCGCGACTTGCAGCAAATCGGGGTGACTATGTCGTTCGTGGCACAGAAATGTTGCAGATTTAGAGGCTTGTGAGTTGTGACATAGTCGGGTTGCGAAGTAAAACAGGAACAAGCTTCAGGAAAAAACTGCTTGGGAACTGAAGAAGGCAAGAAAAGGAGTCTTGGGAATGGCCAATTTGTCAGCGAATTCGTTTGTCCCAAGATGTTTGTCAGAAAGGAGTCTTGAAAGGGATTCGGGCAGTTTCTGTTGGTGGTGACCAATAAGAGGGTGCGGCGTGGCATTTCTCATGCAAAATGCTGCTGATTTCGGTCAACGTTGCATTCCCAGTCTCGAAACTTTCAGACGATGCAGATGAGACAGGAAAACCGCTTAAGTCTACTTCAAGAATCACTATAAATATATGGAGGTCAATCCAACCCTAAATTGTATTTCAAGTGATCCTCTCCGATGCTTACAAAGAGCACAGGGCCACAACCGTTCTTCGCTCGTTACCAGCCACCAGTGCTCGTTGCACTGCTTCCAACAAGCATTCATTTGCTGTAAAATTTTGTATTGAACTAGGCTTTGGGAATAGCCCAAACCTCTTTACCAGCATTGCACAGCCTACGTCATTTTCCCAGGTTATGATACTGGTACTCGGTGGCAGTACTGCAGACAGTCACTCACCACCACCCTACATGCCTTCTGAGGCGCCTCAGAAGTGTTCGACTTTAGTACGCTCAGCATCTCATGCGTTGGGCAGCAGCAGCCCCAGCAGCAGGTTGAAGAGCAGCTGCACCCACGTGTTCACAGGGCCTGCCCGGCTGCAGCATTGCATGCAGTAGGTCACCCTCAACCCCACATGCCTCAAAAGCCTGGCACTCTCAGAAGCATCTCAGCCAGTGGGCACGAGCAGTCCCAGCAGCAGGTTGAATAGCAGCTGCACCCACATGTCCACAGGCCCCGGTGGTGCCTCAGAAGTGTAATAGTACTCTCAGAAGTATCTTGACCAGCGCGCATAAACTAGTCCCAGCAGCAGGTTGAATAGCAGCTGCACTGCACCCACGTGTCCACAGGCTCCGGGTGGCAGCATTGCAGGCAGTCCCACCGCCGCCCCACACACCTTACGAGCGCCTCAAAAGAGCTACTCCGAACCCTCAACCGCTAGGAAAAAGCAGCCCCAGCAGCAGGTTGAAGAGAAGCTGCACCCATGTGTCTCTGGGCCTGGATGCCTGTAGTGCAGGCAGTCCCACCGCCCCAAAAGTGTGCTCTCAGCATCTCAGCAGATGAAACAGCAGCTGCACCCACGTGCCCACGGGGCCCGGGTGGCAATAGTGCCAGCAGTCCCAGCGCCCCACATGCCCATCAACCCGCCACATAAGTGCTACCAAACACCCTCAACCGCTAGGAACAAGCAGCCCCAGCAGCAGGTTGAAGAGAAGCTGCACCCACGTGTCTGTGGGCCCGGATGGCAGTAGTGCAGGCAGTCTCACCGCCCCAAAAGTGTGCTCTCAGCATCTCAGCCAGTGGAACAAGCAGCCCCAGCGGCAGATTAAACAGCAGCTGCACCCACGCGTCCACGGGGCCCGGGTGGCAATAGTGCAAGCAGTCCCAGCGCCCCACATGCCCATCACCCGCCACATAAGTGCCACCAAACACCCTCAACCGCTAGCACAAGCAGGCCCAGCAGCAGGTTGAAGAGCAGCTGCACCCACGTGTCCACAGGGCCCGGGTGGCAGTAGTGCAGCAGTCAGTGTCAGTCACCCACCACCTGGCCACCACTACTAGGCACGAGCAGGCCCAGCAGCAGGTTGAAGAGAAGCTGCACCCACGTGTCCACGGGGCCCGGATGGCAGTAGTGCAAGCAGTCCCAGCGCCCCACATGGCCATCAGGCCGCCACACAGTCGACGCATTCACATCCATGTACACACCCCCCACGCCCTCCACCAGCCGCCTCACAATCCCATTCTGCGCTGCAAACCCGTCCCAGTGCCAGTCGTCATGCGGCAGCTCCAGAAGCTTCTTGGAAAGCGGCTTCCTGTGCAGCCAGCACCCGGGGTGACCAGCAGGGGTGTTTCGGGCGATAATGAGGAGCTCGGGGTGGGCCTGCCGGAGGGCCAGCAGAGTGGACTGCAACTGCCGCTCAAACCTCTCATCTTCAATGTAGTGAGCGCCTCGGTTTATCACCACCATCGATACGTTCTGTGCTGCGATCTCGTCCATCCACGACTCGTCGAAGCTCCTGTCCAGTAAGAAATCGTTCACGTCTTCCGTGGAGTTGAGGTAATAGTCGCGGACGAAGAAAACCCGCACGGAGAAGCCGAGATCCGCGCAGAGGTGGAGGGTCCAGCAGCGCGGGTCTTTCTTCTTGGTCGCGTTTTGGTACCGCTGGCAGTAGGCAGTCGGCTCACCCCACTGTACCCGGGGCTTGGCAGAATCCTCCTCCTGGTCCTTGGCGTTGGCGTTGGCGCCTAGTCTCACGTTGAACCGGATTGCGTCGGCTAAAAGCAGGTTCAATGAGTCGCCCACTATAAGCATGGTTCTTTTGTCCATAACTTCGCAGAACTTTTCTGGGGAGAACTGTTCCCAAGGTGCACCGCATGATCTGCTGCTGCCGTTGGTAGCTCCTGATGCTCCCCCACCCTGCCCGTCTGCGTCGCTTTCTGGAACCTTCCAGAAATACTTAGTATCTCGTACAGCCCACTTACGCAGAAGTGCATCCTTCCGTCGCTTGAGCCGCTTCAACTGGTTGACCTGTGGCGCAGGAATCACGTCTCCTCCCCCTATAATCTCCTCTATCTGACTCGCGAACTCCTGAAACTGTCCCACCATGCGATCCGCGTCTTGCAACGCCACATTGCGCGAGTCCTTTCCCAAGTGGAACGCGTCGCATTTGCGCATCTCGTCCGGCCATGGCAGTAGTCGTGGTGAGACGAAGTGGGACCACTCGCCCTCACGGCCGATGCAATCAAATCTTTCTCGGAAGGATCGGATCTTTTCGGGGGAATCTAGCACGGAGCCTGGGATTCGGGTCCACAGGCTTGGTGCAGGTTCGGATTGAGGAGCTTCGGTAGGAGGGTTGGGAGAAGGTTCAGTTGCAGGTTCGGTGGAGAGTGGGTCGGAAGGAGGTTTGGTAGGTGGATCGGTGGGAGTAAGAGATCCGACACTTGGATCATCGGACGATGGGGATGTCTGTGTGGATGACTCTTCTGGCGCCTCGGTAACTGCTGAGCCTGAGGTAGAGTTTGAGGTAGTGAGGTTTGATGGGAATGCCGTTGTGCTGTTTACAGGCGAAGGGTCGGCGACTGGAAGGCGAGACGACTCGGCTACTGCAGCAACCAGCCGATCGCCGGCAGACGGTTGATTGGTGGGAGACGGTTGATCGACGGCTGACAGTGATTGATTCCCGTCAGGTTGACTGCTGGCGGATGGTTCGAGCAGCAGCTGACCTGTCTCACGCGGCTTCTGTACTTCTGCGAATAGTAACTCGTCGTGTCCAGCTGCTGCTTTTCCCGATCTTTCTGACGTGGCCGCGAGCAAGTCTGCACGTCAGGATGGCACGAAGCAGCAATGGAGGCGATTCTTGTATACCGAACGAGGAGAAAGGAGATAAAGTACGTGTATAGCCCAATGAGAGCGAACAAAACGGCGAGAGCGATGGCGACGCGGGCGTGAATAGTTAGTAATTTCTCCGCTTGCCATTTCCGAGGTTTTGTCGTCGCAGCGCCTTCAGGTCCGTCGCAAGCTCTGCTCAGCAAAGCAAGACTCGCTCGCTCTGACGGCGAACAAAGCAGCGCCATAGGGAGCGGTGCGTAGCTGGCGTGTTACTCCTAGGAGTACTAGTCGTCGCCGCTGTCGCTCTGTCAATGTTGTGGACACTCTACTTTCAGCGGTGTTTTTTTTGTTTTTTTTTTTTAAACGAAGTGCAATACAGATACCTTACGATATTAGCTTTCGCGCTGATTAAGAGACTTGATACTATGTCGCCGTTGACGGCGCAACGAGGAGGAGCATATGATAAGCCCGAGGCACAGACGGATGGAGGGTGGATGACCGTACTGTACTTTAGACGGTTATTTGTATCTCTGTACAGTACTGTAACGTGCAGTACGGCGCAGTGCGATAACAGTCCTTACTGAAGGCGTCCGTACGACTTGTACGACTTCTTCAGCTGGAAGTTGGAGGTTGGTGGATTGAAGGAAATGAAAATCGACGAGAAACTCGGCAGACCAATTGCAGGCCGGGGAGTGATGGTGGAGGTTATCAGATCGGAATCCGGATAGCGTTTCGGACCACTGTGTAACGCATAGAAACTCTCAGGAATGACCCAAACCATCTTACGCCCATCGATCTCCCCAAAGCCCAATTGCAGGCTGAGGGGTGGAGGTAGCGGTTATCAGGTGGGATAGCGTTTTGGACCACAGTGTAACGCATGGAAATGCTCCGAACTTACTCAAACCATCTTGCGCCCATTTATTTCCCCGACGCTGGCCGATCAGCACTCTGGAAGGCGAGTGGGGGGCCACGTATATTATCGTGCGGAAACAGCGGACGCTGTGATATTTTTGTTTTTTCATACATACACTTTTGTGAACGTGAAACGCGAGGACGACAAGAGCGCGTACAAGAAAGCACCCCTCCCCGTCTCCCCCCTTCAATGCACAAGCTGAAATCCAGAATCCGTGCATTCGTGAATGGCAAACAAACGGAATGACGCACTAGCCGTTTCAATCCCGTCGCTGGCCCTCAGGAAACAGCTTCAGTCTGCCAATTAACCGTTGGAATGACGCGGCGAATGCGCAAGTTGCCCTAGTCACTCAGATTCAGCGTATAGCATCTTGCAAGGATGAAGAGGCTGCTGTCCTCGATATTGCCGGCCTCGTTGCGAGCCATGTGGCCGTTCGTGCTGCCATGGATCCTGCCGGCGTGGTTCTTTCTGATGCTGACGGGGATAGTAGAGGCATGCAAACGAGGAACCGTTTCCGAGACGCTACTATTTGCTGGTACTAACGGAACGATGCTGCTGTTAGCGGATCAATGCTACATTATTTGGCTGCTGAGTTCGTGCGTTTAACGATTGCAATCCAGGCGCATGTTCACGTCAGTATGCACGTGTGACTGTAGGTGTGCGCGGAGCAAGGTGCATCGTACGAGAGCTCAAACCCCCTCCCCTCCCCCCCACCTTCCCTCTCCCCCTCCTCCCCCTCTCCCCCCACCCCCCTCCTCCCCCCTCTCCCCCTCTTCTTTTCGTCTCAAAAGGTTCTGTTGATATGAGACTTGCGAATGCGCTAATTGTCCGTATCCCCACGCGTGTGACTATAGGCGTGCGTGGAGCAACGTACATCGTAGGAGAGCTAAAAAAAAACCTCCAACCCCCTCCCTCCCCCGCTTCCTTTTCGTCTCCCTGATTCTGCTGACATGAGACTTGCAAATGCGCCAATTGTCCGTATTCCCACGCGTGCATGCGCATGGATCCATGCGTTCCTGTGCGTGCCTTCATGTGTGCATGCATGTGTCCATGCCTGCTCACATCGTTGCCTGCGTGCTTGCATGCGTCTCTACATGCACGTGTCTGTCCATGCTATGCCATGCCATGCTATGCCATGCCATGCCATGCTATACCATGCCATGCCATGCCATGCCATGCCATGCTATGCCATGCCATGCTATGCCATGCCATGCTATGCTATGCCATGCTATGCCATGCCATGCTATGCTATGCCATGCCATGCTATGCTATGCCATGCTATGCCATGCCATGCCATGCATGCATGTTCATTTCCCCTCCACCATCCCCTGCCAGTCGCGCCCATAACCATCTGGATACTGCTGGGGAGAACGCTCACCATCATCTCTTCAAGGCCCTTCTTCCCAACCTTCATGTCCTTATGGGTGCCTTCATCTGTCTTTATGCATGTTCATCCCTTCCCCACCATCCCAGTCGCGCCCATCACCGTCTGGATACTGCTGGGGAGAACGCTCACGCTCACCATCATATACTCAAGACCCTTCTTCCCCTCTGTCTTCTCCGCTATCAACCTCCTCGCCTATGGAACCTTCCTGTTCCTCCTCCGCTACCGTGAGTGGCACACACACACGTGCGGGCTCACACACACACACACACACACACACACACACACACACACACACACACGCACACACACACACACACACGCACGCACGCTCATTCGCACCATCATCTTTTCACGACCCTTCTTCCCTTGTCTCATCCCCACCATCGACCTACTCGCCTATGGAACCTTCCTGTTCCTCCTCCGCTACTGTGAGTAGCACACAACACACACACTCTTGCAGGTGTTAGCATGCTGATTCCCAATGCGCCAATCGCCGTCCATTTGTCTTCCCCTCCCTCACCTCCGCCATCAACCTCCTCGCCTATGGCACCTTCTTGTTTCTCCTCCACTACCGTGAGTCGCACACACACACGTGTGACAATTTCAAAATGCCAATGCCTGATACCCACATCATCTGCAACTATATTGTTCCATCCAATCCAAAAACCCTTTTCCACACGCATACCCACCCACCCTTCCTGCCTCCATCCATGCCCCCTTCTCACTCCAACATGCGTTTCACGACACCTCTATTCTCCTATGCACCGCCTCTGTCGATCTAGTTCTCCCGCCACACTTCCAGTGAGCCCAATCGCCTATCACTCAAGCCTCATTTCGCCTCTGTCCCTCCTCTCTTCCCCTTTCCCCCGTGCTATCCAGGCGTCTCAGCGTTGCTCGGTGCAATGGTTCACGCCTCTGTTGCTGTCGTCTTCCCACTCTACTTCCTGTGAGCTCTACCAGCACCACTCGTGCTTCTCCATTTCTCAACACTTTCGCTCCATTCAATTTCCGATCCATGGCATTCCGCTGCTTCTGGTAAGGCACCGTGTAAATGATCCATCGTACTCCTCACGGTCCCTCGTTCAGGCACCTCAAAATTTGCGAGGCGCCCCAAGGCTTGCTCTGACAAGGCACCTTGTATGCAAGGTGAAGAATCCTGCCCAAAGGCGAGCCCCCGAGTCATGGAGCACAGATCCCCTGAAATGAGGGACAGCGCGGGGAGGAGGTGAGAGAAGCTCAGTCCCTTCTCCCTCTGTCCCTTCCTCCATCCTCCACCCACCTTTCCACCGCTCAGCACCTACCACACAGATCCCGGTTTCATAATCAAGGGCGAGCCCCCAGCGAGTTATGGGACACATATTCCCTGCAGTGAAAGGCAGCGTGGGGAGGAGGCAAGTGGAGTGCAATCTGTTCTCCCCCTGTCCCCGTCTCCATCCTCCCCCCTCACCCAATCCCCCCAGCACATACCACACTGATCCCGGATTCATACCCAAGGGCGAGCCCCCACCGAGTTATGGGGCACATATTTCCAGCAGTGAGGGGCAGCGCGGGGAGGGGGCGGGAGGAGTGCAGCCCAATGGGTGTGGGATGGCAGATGGTGGAAGTGTGAGAGGGGGAGGCGGTGAGGTGGCAGCGCAGCAGCAGGGAAAGCAGGATTTGCAGCACGGGGAGCAGGAGTTGGGACAGGGGCAGGGGCAGAGGCAGGGGCAGGGGCAGTTGAATGAGGAGCAGTGGCAAAGCTGGTACAGGCAAGTGAGGGAGTGGGAGGAACAGCAGCAGAGGCAGCGAGAGCAACAGCAGCAGAGGCAGCAAGAGCAACAGCAGCAGCAGCCGCAGCAGCAAGGGCAGCAAGGAGGGCTGGTTGTGCGAGGGAATGAGACTGGAGCAGCACCTTCACATGACGTACGATGTGTATGGGGCGGGAGAAAGAGTGGGGAAAGGGAGAGAGGGGAGGAGGGGGGCCGTGCGTGTGTGTGCGTGTCTGGATGTGTTTGTGTGTGTGTGTGTGTGTGTGTGTGTGTGTGTGTGTGTGTGTGTGTGTGTGTGTGTGTTTGTCTGTGCGTGGAAGAGAGGGGGGGAGAGGGGGTGTTCACGTGCACGTTTCTTCGTGGTGACACTTGTATCGCATGTTGCACACAGCACTCCCATCCGACATCGATGTACTGTTCACCAAAACAAAGTCCGCGAGGCGCTATTTCTCAGCTCTGTTGTCTAGAATGAGTTTGGTTTTTTGTGCGATAAAGAAGCACAGGAAGACAGATAATAAGAAGTGTTTGATACAGAAAAACTGTTTTTTTCCTTTCTTTATTTCTTTCTTTCTTTCTTTCTTTCTTTCTTTCTTTCACTGTTGGTTGGTTGGCTGTTTTACATGATTCAAGTCACACCCGACTTTTGAGGCGCCTCAAAAGACATGCTTCAAGTTACACCCGTTTTCACTCAAACCAACAGCTGCTCTGTTTTAGCAGCAGTGCCTTCGAAAGGCAAGATTACTGTCACTGTATCCAAGTCGCTTTTGAGAAATCCCAAAAAATGTTGATTCAGAGAATCCTTAACTATGCCACACAGACAATTTTGAGGCGCCTCAAAAGGAGGTGTATTTTGAGGCGCCTCAAGATTCAGAGAATCCTTAACTATGCCACACAGACCCTCTCATCCCAACCCTCATCCCCTTCCCCGCCCTCCCTCTCCCCCGCCTGTGTGTGTTACCCCCGATTTCGCCCTCTTCAGGATGGCATTGGCTGTGTGCCGTTACAAGGTGACAAGCAGCCTGAAGCAGGCAGCAGCAGCAGCAGCCGTGTGATGGCTCAACAAGCAGGGACAGGTGACACAAGGGTGGAACTGGGTGGTGATGTGCACATGCAGCTGCTGCCGCAAGGAGGCATGCACACAGAGCGCCGAGAGGAGAAGCAGGAGGAGGTGCCGCTAATCCAACACCAAGGGCTGCAGCCGCAGCCGCAGCCGCAGACGCCGCTGCAGCAGCAGCAGCAGCAGCAGCAGCAGTGGTGGTGGGCGTGGTTCTGGAAACCCAGCAACTACTGCCATGAGTGTGATGTGAGTAGCACCTAGCATTGGTCGAGCAGGCGTAATCGAGCTTTGAGACGTCTCAAAACTCTACTGCCACGAGTGTCATGTGAGTGAGTAGCACCTAGCGGTGGTCGAGCAGGCGTGATCTCTCTTTGGTGGCAATGTAAGAACAAAATATGAGCACGTCGAATCCCACATCATGATTGTTGCCCCTGCTGGTGAAGCAGGGGAGTTCAAAACACCACCCATCCGTGGTGAATAGAAATGTGCTACCCAGGATCTAGAGAGATTAGGGCCCGTGCCCTAGCGTAGTTGATTGATTGGGGTTTGTAAGAATATATGAACAACTGACAAGAGTATTGGGGGATTTGGGAGGGGGTGGGGGGCGGGGAGTGCATGGAAGGGTTTGGGGGTGGAGGAGATGGTGCATGCATGCGGCAAATGTCTTAGTAAACACGATAAGGCTCTTTATGCAGGTGTGGAGCTGGGTGTGGTCACGGGGCTGCTGGAAGTGCCAACGGTGAGTGGACCAATATGGACATGGCCATGTACACATCGCCATCTCTTCCCTTGTGTGCACATGGCCATGTTGTGGGCCTCACCTCTCTCTCCCTGCGCTTCTCCTCCCGTCCACACACCCCTCTCTCTGTGTTAACGTGTGGCGGTGGCCGCGGTCTCGGCACTGCTGGAAGTGACATTGCTGTGCGGACCATCACGGACGCACATTCTCACTGCTCTCTCCCCTGCCTTATCCTCCATTCGTCCCCACACCCCTCTCCCCTACGTGCGAGCAGGTGTGGCGGTGGGCGCGGTCGCGCCATTGCTGGAAGTGCCATCGCTGTGTGGATCGATACGACCACCACTGCCCCGCTATAGGCACCTGCGTGGGTATGACTCGTTATAAGCACACACAACATACGCTGGGTAGCAACTGTTCTTCTTCTAACCCCTTTAATTCTTTAATTTCTACCATGTACATGGGATGATCGTGTCTGCTGCGTACGTTTGTTTGTGTGACTGTCCATTTGTGAGTATTCGTTTGCCACTGTGCTGCCTCGTGTGAGTATCATTGTGGCTGCTTTGACTCTCGCACAGGATCAAACTCTAAAGTCTTGTGTGTGGAGCGTGTAGCACACCTTAGACTCTTTCTTTGACCTGGTTTTTGAATTTGAATTTGACACTGACTTGACAAGGATTTGACTTGACTTGACAATGACTTTGACTCTGCCTTGTCAGAACATTGGCAGCTGTGATTCCCTCCTTCCCCCCTCCCGCCTTGACTCAATAGCGCTCATGATGACAAGTTGCGATTCACAACATTCTTGACTTGCTGCATTCTTCACAGCACTTTCCGTTCACACACATTCTTGCGGCACATCCTTTTTCCGACACACACTCTCTTAACTAGCAATTAGGCTACACACACACATTCTTCCAACAAGCATTTCTTTCTCTCATACATTGTTTTGGCGCCAATTCAGGTCGTCGCAACCACCGGCTGTTCCTCCTGCTCATCGTCGCCTTCATCGCTGGTGAACTCACCTTTGCAGCCAGCTGCCGTGCCTGTGAGTGCATGAGTGATGTATACGGTTGAAGCTCTTGTATGGCTGTGACGGTCTTTGGTCTTTGCCTGCTTGTGCTTAGCCCTGGCCAGTGACCAATGCCGGCAGTGTCCCAAGAAATCAAAGATCCGACCCGGATCCAGCAGACTAAACTCCTCCTAAACATCACCACACGCTTTTGAGTCGACTCAAAAGTCAGCAGACTAAACTCCTCCTAAAATTCGCCATTCCCTGTATATTCCTGGTCTACCTAATCCCTAGCCTTGATATTTACGATAGCGAGTAGTGAATGTGTTTGATCTGCTGGACCTTGGTCTGGATCTGAATCGAATCCTCAATCTCCTGCAGGGTGGTTTTGAGAATTCTCAAAAACGAATTTGATCTGCTGGACCTTGGTCTAAGTCGAATCCTCCATCTCCTGGGACACTGAGGCGGAAGTTGGCACCATGCCGTGGGTCATGGCCGTTCCTCTCCCATATCCGCCTCTCCCATATCCGCCTCTCCCATATCCGCCTCTCCCATATCCGCCTCTCCCATATCCGCCTCCTCCTCCAATCATCATTCGTTCCCACCACACCTTGCCTCTCATCATCTCTTCACCTGCCATTCACCCAGCATCTTTGAGAACGTCAAACCATTTCCCTCCCCTCCCATCCCCTCCCCTTCCCTCCCTCCCTCACCTCCCCTTCTTCTCACCCACCGTCCCCACCAGTCCTAGCGTCACATCACCTCCTTCACCTGCCCTCCACCCAACCCCTCATCTTCCCGAATCGTACGTACCCTTTACAACGAGGTGACTTCTGAGTCCACTCAAAAGTGATCTTCCCGAACCGTACGTATCCTTTACCCATGTCATCTCTTCAGGTGCCCCTTACCCACCCTTGTAGTAACACTTACGCTTCGTCATCAGCATGTGCTACCTGGCACGGTGGTCAGCTCTCATGTGCTACCTGGCACGGTGGTCAGCTCTCATGTGCTCCCGGAGTAGTTAGCTGTACATACCATACCAGCACCCTCCGTTCCTGTTTTAGACACGCCTCTCCAATCTCTTCCTCCTCACCATCTTGCAGCTTTTTTATTAGCGTCCCACTCTTGTAATTCCTGCCTTTTCACCCCTCTCCTCTCTAGCGTTCCACATCTTGCATGCCCCTCTCTCCTCTCGCTCGCTTGCGTCTTTTGGTGTGTCCCTCCCCATCCTCCCTCGTGTGTCCCTTCCCATCCTCGTGTGTCCCTCCCCATCCTCCCTCTCCCATGCACTCCTGTGCTTCAGAAGGTGCTCCTAGAGGCGTAGATGTGTCCTTTCACATCATCATTGCTGCTTGCCTGTCCCCCTACCCCTCATCCTCTTGTGCTGTGCCCCTACCCCTCATCCTCTTGTGCTGTCCCCCTACCCCTCATCCTCTTGTGCTGTGCCCCTACCCCTCATCCTCTTGTGCTGTGCTTCAGTGGGTCCTATAAGGAGCGTAGAGACATCTGTCCGCATTAATATCCAGGTGCCCTACACTCACACTCGCTGCACTCACACTCGCTGCACTCACACTCGCTGCACTCTCACACTCACTGCACTCACACTCACTGCACTCACACTCACTGCACTCACACTCACTGCACTCACACTCACTGCACTCACCCTCGTTGCACTCACACTCGCTGCACTCACACTAGTTGCGCTCGCACTCCCTGCGCTCACACTCCCTGCGCTCACACTCCCTGCACTCACACTCACTGCTCTCACACTCACTGCATTCACACTCATCGCACTCACACTCACTGCACTCACTCCCATCACTGCATCGTATCCTTAGCAGGCCCTACTGGCCCAACCATGGGTGGTGCTGCTCATGCTCTGTGCCTACCTCCAAACCCTCTGGCAGGTAACGCACCTTCTTCCCTTCCACCTGCTTTCATTTCCCTCCTCCTCCTTTCAGCTTACCCCAGTCTTCCTCCCCCTCAGTTTTTTAGCCGCCTCAAAAGCTTCCTCACGGCGTTGGTTCATGTTTAGTGGTTCTCTCCCCCCTGCCTTGCACGTCTTCCATCTATAGAACAACCCTTACTCCTCCCTCTCTCATTTACTCTCTCCTTTTTCTCCGGTGCTTCTTGTGACTTTTCTCTTCTTGGCCTTGCAGGCTCCCCTGCTCCTCTTCCACCTCTTCTGCATAGGACAAAACGTGACAACCTACGAGTGGGTGAGAACCATGCTGCCTTCTCCACTGATACAGCCATGATACAATGCGAAGCACCATCATCGCTCAGCATCACTCTTCCCCCTGTCTTCCCCTTCGCCTCTATGCATGTTTCACGCATTCCCATCGTCCCTATCGCATGTCTCCCCCCTTCCCCTTCGCCCTTACGCATGTCTCCCCCCTTCCTCTTCCCCTTTCCTTTGTGCATCTCTCCACTCACTGCTCCCAATGCCCCCACCAGGCACGATGGAAGAAGGTTCCATACATGCACTATGAAGGACCGCCCTTCCTGTGTAAGTCCAAGTCTTACCATGGCATGGCATGGCGTGACATGGCATGGCATGATGTAACATAATGTTACCCAACTCGCTGGATAGGCAAGGTAGCAAGTGACAGGAAAATGCGGTTGTAAGGAAAGGATAGCGAGATTGCAGGTCAAGCTTCTTTTATCAAAAGACATGATTAGCTGGCGTATACGCAACCTTCACATCAATCAAAATTTCCAACAATCTCAAATTGGTAATTACTGTACACACAATACAACCAAACACGTTTTAAGCGCTTCTTTTAATTGGCTGAAAACACATCAAATATCCCAACTAAAGTGGATGAAGATGGGGCAACGTCCTCCTCTAACTGGTTGAAATCAAACTCCAAAGTGTGGGGGACAGAGACAACACATTAAAGGTACTGCAGTAAGCAAGATATATATACTCATCCCAATCTTCACTAGCTAGTTTCTTTCAAACGCTTAAGATACTTACCCAAAAACAAAATCATTACCTTGTGAGATTGACAGTGCTCGAAGTGTAACATTTCGAGTCCTTACGGCAATAAACAAGTGAAGAACAATGAGTAAAAATAAAGATATTTCTTGACAATAAACACAAGAGAAGGATCTCTATTTCTTCTTTTATTATTAATGAATTGTGGTGTGGTAGTGTTCGAGAATTCAGCCGTTGTTTAAGAGGGCTTGTGAGGAGAGCTGTAAGACTGACAAAATCCAAATTTTCCAAATGAAATCTTTGAGTTGGGAGGTGAATTAGCAAGCTTGGTACCCCAAACCCCTTCCTGTGAGTCATTTGGGAGTTTTACCCCTTCGCAACCTCGTTCAAAGAGATTCAAATGTGAGTTTGCTTAATGTGGCGCTTTGAGATGAGCTTGATTGTAGTGGAACAAGCTGTGGTTGCTTAAATGCTAGATTTATTGCAATCAGGCTCATTCTTAGGTGGGATTGCGAGGTAGCCACTTAGGAGTTGGTTAGCTTCCTAATCCTTTTAGCCGTGGTTGGTGATTTGAACAGCAAGGTGTGGCATGACATGGCATGGCGTGGTATCACATGATAGAGGGCATGCAGCAGGATGATTCATGGATGTTGCCATGCCCGGTAAGGTTTGCACCTTTCCATTCCACTTCTGTGTGCCATGTTCCATGTTCCATGTGCCTTGATGATCACATCTTGTGCCGATGTGTCACCATTCCATGGCATGCTGATGTATCATGATTGGTGGCCCTTGTATGGCTTGCATGAACGTGCATGTGCGTGTGCTACTCATGTGCCTGTATGTTGCAAACGGGTCTCTGTTGCATCATCCTTCCACCAGCATCAGGAGAGCAAACAAAGCACTTCCACAACCCGTACGACCGTGGCTTCATGAAGAACTGGAGGTGCTTTCTCAAAGAGGACGACAGATATGACGAGCAGCGGCTACAGGAGAAGCAGCTGCAAGCAAGATAACTGACTTGGTGGTCGAAGCACTTCCACAACCCGTACGACCTTGGCTTCGTGAAGAACTGGAGGTGCTTCTTGAGAGAGGACGACAGATACGATGAGCAGTGACTGCAGGAGAAGCAGCAGCAAGCGAGATAACTCGAGAGGTAACTTGCTAGGTGGTAGTACGGAAATAACGTGATTTCAGAGGCTGCAATTATGCTTGTGGTATGTTTCGTTTCATATTTCCCAATGGAGTGGAGTCGTTTTCATGTTTCATTGTTGACTACCCACTAGGTGAATTTGTATTAGGAACGATTCCTGAAAAATTGCCTAGGCAAAACAGCCCAGGAACACAGCAGCTTGTCGGCTCGTTAACCATTTCAGATTCTAGCTCATCATCAAATCACGTGGACAAAGCGCAGAGTCACCACCAGGCCCTGTGCTAGGCACAAAAGGCCAAACAGACTCTAGCATCAAGAGCATCAGAGGCTAGTTGTAAGTTGGATCCTGATGAGGAACTCAGTCAGGAGTCAGGGTTCCAAGCGAAACTACCTATGCTGATTTTTCTCCCCTCCAGAATCTTGAAAAGGTTGAAAGGGTTCAAGTAGAGCTGGGCAGATCCAACCTGCCCTCGGGAAGCTAGGAAAAAACAATATTTTCTGCCCTTGGGCAGTTGAAAAATTCATTGGGAGCTGGGCTGCTCCGTCCTGCCAGGCTGCTCCCTCCTCTCGGGTGCCGTCTCCCCAGCGACCAGAGCAGCGGCGCCCATCTGTGCCTCATCGGTGGCTGTGGGCAGAGAGGAGGAGCCCACCATGCCCGCTGTGGGCAGAGAGGAGGAGCCCAGGGGAATGCCGATGGGCGGCGCGTTGGTGTCCACACCCACCATGCCCGCTGCAGCCCTTCCAACCGCTGCTGTGCCGGCAGAAGCGGTGTCAGCGGCGGTGTGAGCAGCAGATGTCACGGCCTGAAGGGGCAGTGGGATGGGAAGGATGTAGTAATGGAGAGGTGTTATAGTTTGGTTGGTGAGGTGGATAGGGATGCCATCACAGCAGCAGGCCAGCACCAGCAGCGTGAGCAGCAAATGTCACGGCCTGCAGCTGCAGTGGGGTGCGATGGGATACCGTGTCAGCAGCAGCGGTGTGAGCAGCAGCAGCTATCATGGCCTGCAGAGGCAGTGGGGTGGGATTGATGAAGGGACGAAGAGGTGTTACAGAGGTAAATACCCAGTGGCAGCAGCAGCAGCGCTTAATAGCAGACGCCAAGGTGCATCGGGCAATCAGGAAACAAATAAGGCATGCAGTGCTGCACTCATTGCAGCGCAGTGCACTGAGTGCACCTCACTCCACCTCAATCAATCCATCCCACATCCAACTCACTCACTCCACCACACTCACCTACTTAGCACCGCTCCAAGTGGAGAAGGCCATGTGCTTGGCTCCTCCCATCGCATCACCCAAGGACAGCACCCCAGGCATGTCAGGCACTAGCGGCACGTCCCATCGCTCCCCCCCTCCCCCTGCCCCTCCTTCCCCACCCACCAGCACTGCTGCCTCCCCTTCGATCGCCAACGGCTTCCCCTCGCCCTCCACCCCCTCGCCCCCGAACCCCACTCCTCGTTTCTCCTCCACCTCTCCCCCCGTGGACTCTCCCCCTGCCTCTCCCCCACCTTCACCACCCACCAGCACTGCTGCCTCCCCCTCGATCCCCAACGGCTTCCCCTCGCCCTCCTCCCCCTCTCCCCCCAACCCCACTCCTCCTTTCCGCCCTTCCTCTCCCTCCGAAGCCTCTCCCCTTCCCCCCATCCTCTTCCGCCCTTCCGCCACACTCTTCCCCACCCCCGCCCGCAGCGCCTCTACCTCTTCCGCCCCGAGAGCCACCTGCCATCCCGCCGTCTCCTCCTCGTCGATCCCGCCCTCCACGCTCGCGTACACCTGCCGCCCCGCCGTCTCCTGCCAGTCCACGTCAGCTTGAACCGGGATTTCCGGGGGCTGCGCGGCGGCTGAGGCAACCGACGTTGCCTCCTGCGGTCGCTGTCGGATAGCTTGCTCGTGCTGCTGCAGCGTCTTGTCGTCTTGCATGGTGGTGAGGAAGTGTGAGGGTGAGTGAGGGAGAGGGTGAGGGTGAGGGTGAGGAGGGTGAGGGTGAGTGAGAGAGGTCGCAGGCGGCCCGTTTAGAGAAGAAAGTATTTTCAAAACTGCAAAATCCCTGGGAACTGACGTAACTGGAGGATACAGCAGGACTTTGCGGTTGCGAGGAAACTGGAGGGGATTGGTACTGGCCCACAGACAGCGGCTTGAAGGCGTCTGGCTGGGAAAAGGCCTCGTCGCTGAATAAGCGGCTCTCTGGAGCCTACGATTTTCAGTGTGTACAAAATCCCATCGTGCTCGTCAATAGCGACGACGCGACGCACGGGTGGTAACTCGGAGGACGAAATCTCGCGTTTCGCCATCGACCCGCAACTGAAGCGGCGTCAGAGCGGTACGGAAGGGAAAAAAAAAAACTCTTCGAATCGCCGCCGCTTGCGGTCGACAGTACTCGGAGGTCGAGGCGCCATGCAGGGTAAGGGGTGACGAGCTAGTGGGAAACTGCCACATGTCATGCCAATGGGTTATAAATTTCTCGTATTCGTTATAAGCTTATGAAAACTTCTGGAGCTACAATTATCTTTTACAGTATCCATTAGTGCATATGTCTGCTTTCGCTACTATAGGTACATAGCAGCACCATTATAGCCGTGTTTAATGTAGCGATTTGCAAGTCCTTTCAACAAATAAGGACGCGTTACAATTCCTGGTGCACTACATCGGCTCGGCTCGTAGTACGGGTTCAGGAAGGGTCCATGCAACCGGGAGGCCGAGCCAATGCGGTGCACTGACTTGGCACGGCTTGGCTCGAGCCGAGTCAATGCACTGCGTCGCTATGGATCGAGCCAGTACGACCTGCCATGTGCCATCAGATTGACCCCCGCTGCCAAACCGCCACTCTGCCCTCGCGAATATTTAGTTGTCGCCAGAATCCCTGGTTACAGCACTCATTTCGACACCTACCCTTTCGCCAACGCACTCCCTCCCTCACTCAACAAGAGTGTTACGATGATTACTTTTGCCGTTGTTGCGGTTCTTTTCTTGACTTGACCTGAAAACGCTGCTGGTGCTGGTGGGAACATTTCCCGACTCGTGTCTGGAAATTGCACAGTAACATTCTCAAATTTCATGACGAAGTTTCGAGGTTCCCGAGGCTCGAGTCTGGCACGACCTGGCTCATGCCAATTCGAGCCGAGCCGATGCAGTGCACCGGGAAATGCAACGCGTCCTAAAGAACCATCACACAACAGCTCCCTCGCATGCCTCACGATCTCCCTGTGTAGCAAAGATTTCGCCAACCCAAGCCCAGGAATAAATATCGCGTGCTGAACAACAAACTCGTTTGAACGACTCGATTGAGCTGGATAGAACCTGGAGCCGCGCATCGGGAATGCGTCGCATCGCATCACACGTTCATTGTGCGGTTCGATTTCGCATTTCGTTTCAGCACAATCACTGCACACCTCCTCCCCTTGTCCCCCCATGCAGCGCACGAAACAAAAAGCCAGCAGCAAAAATCTCCCTTGTGCTTCTCCCACAGTTCCCTCTACCAACCAAACCACTTCTGTCGCACCCTTGAGGTGGTCCAGCTCAACACACACCGACCAAATACGCCACCATGCTTACCTATCACCGACCAGCGGCCGACTTACCTTATCAGCGGCACGATCTGGACCCTTGCTCCTCATGGTCTGCGGCTGCTGCCTACCGCTCTTATAAAATGCGCCGCAAACCTACGGTGCTCATCACATCCAGTTATCCTCCAGCCCGAGAACAATTTCGCAACGCTTTTCCTCGAGCTTTCTCTTCCAGCCCAAGGCACATAGTTTTCAGCCCAGTTCATCATCACCCGCTGCAGCGATGGGGCGTTCCAAGACCTTAGTCGTTCTGCTCGCGTTCTCACTGCTCGTATCCCTCGCGCTGGCGCCGTGCCGCGCGGATGAGATCGTCGCTGAAGACGACGTCGACGATGACGTGTCGGACGTCGCCGATATCGCAGACGCGTCGCCTTCGGGTGCGTTAAATCACTTCTTCCCAACCAATGCTCTCTGTATCTTCCTTGTCGTCATTCCCCCTTCCGAGTCGCGCCCCCGCCTCGCCATGCCCATCTTTTCGGGTTTCGTGAATATGTAAGCCATTATTCATGCTTTCGCCTTTATTGCCTTTGGCTGTTTCCAGGTGTGGTGAGGGCGCTGTTGGGCGCGAGCAGGCGGTTCCTGTGGTCAAGCGAGATGCACCGCATGCTGTCGTGCAAGTCGGACTGCGAGGAGAAGAACAAGGAGTGCAACGAGGAGTACAGCGAGTGCAAGCGCGAGAACAAGGACGACGAGCACAAACACCACAAGTGCACGCACACGTACAAGAAGTGCAAGAAAAAGGCCAAGAAGTGCCGCTCCAAGTGCGACTAGAGTCGGAGAGGCAGAAAAATGCAACGGGAGGTATTGATAGAAGCCATTACTAAAAGATACACATGGATGGTGCTGACTCTGGAGGGTACGTCAGGGTGGCGTTCCTCTGGTTGACGAAAATATAGACAGCGTAAAGATAGTACATGTAGGACTTTACCGTTTCATGAAAGGGCAATATTTATTGATAAAAGATACTGGGCTGGAGAACTTTAACACTCGTCCACAAGAAGGATCAGTCCATCTTCAGGTGTAATAGTTCCAGTAGCTCTTTACCATGATTCACAGTAACCGAGCCTCTTCAGTTCAGACAATTCTAGCCGGTAGCGCGGTAGCACAAGCAGACCCTGCTGCAGGCAGCGGCATAATCCTAGGAGCAATCTGCAGATTCCTGCCCATAACACTCAAACACTCTCTGGTGAAAACTTATGGTGGTGAAGGTTCTTCTGTTTTAAGAGCCCGTCACTTATCAGTTGTTTCCAAATATGGTGGCTTTCCACCGAGCTTGCAGCCTGTGGATGATTCAAGGTGCAAACTGCATGGGAATGGATGGGTTGCGGGCTAGAGTTTCAGGTAATGCCCATTTCTTACACTCAACTCAAGGTTGCATAGTATGGTAGTAGCATTCCAACATGCCCTCCATTTCCATTTAGATTCAAGAAAGCTAGGCAGGCAACCTTGCTTGCATCTGGCTGTGAGAAGATGATTAAGGTTCTGTGAGAAAACAGAGTTGTCGTCCAATGTAGCTAACGGTAATATGGTTGTTAGTACACAGAAAGACTTAACACGAAGTGCAACTGGTTTCAGAGGTATACTTTGTGGCATGCTGACTGCCCCATGCTCGCAATTCCTACCCTGCGTTTTCTTTTGCCCTTTCCAATCCTGTTTTTATATGACCCACCACGCTACATCTTAACAGCTTTCGCTTGCTTCAGGACCTGCTCCCTGCCAGCCACCTTCCCTCAGTCTACATTCACGAGTGCTTGTGTCAGTGCACTTTCTCCAACCAATCACGCTACGTTGACGTGGTGCCGGCTGGCAATCGATGCTGCAGAGTCACCAAAGCCCAGCATCTTGTTCACGGCGCTTATGTAAGCGCGCGCGGATGACACCACAATGTCCTCGTCAGCACCGCTGCCACTGAAGATGTTTAGCAGAGAGAGATTGGGGAGCAACGACACGAGCAAGAGAAAGCCCGAATTAGATAAACTCGAATAAGACACCCTTCAGAAGCAAATGAAGGCCACGGGTGGCATGCCAGTCAAACGAGCACGGACGTAGGCCCTCTTACCTGTAGGCCTCCTCACCCCAAGGCCCTCTCACCTCCCACCTCAACTTGCCTTCCTCGAACCTGAAGGCCCTCTCGATGCTGCCGTGCTGCGAGTGCGTAGCCGTGTGCGTATCCCCCGTGGAGCGGATGGCCACCCCGAACCTCCTGCATCCTCTCCTCAACCTCCTCTCCCCTCTCCTCAACCTCCCCTTCCCTCTCCTCAACCTCCTCTCCCCTCTCCTCAACCTCCTCTCCCCTCTCCTCAACCTCCTCTCCCCTCTCCTCAACCTCCTCTCCCCTCTCCTCAACCTCCTCTCCCCTCTCCTCAACCTCCTCTCCCCTCTCCTCAACCTCCTCTCCCCTCTCCTCAACCTCCTCTCCCCTCTCCTCAACCTCCTCTCCCCTCTCCTCAACCTCCTCTCCCCTCTCCTCAACCTCCTCTCCCCTCTCCTCAACCTCCTCTCCCCTCTCCTCAACCTCCTCTCCCCTCTCCTCAACCTCCTCTCCCCTCTCCTCAACCTCCTCTCCCCTCTCCTCAACCTCCTCTCCCCTCTCCTCAACCTCCTCTCCCCTCTCCTCAACCTCCTCTCCCCTCTCCTCAACCTCCTCTCCCCTCTCCTCAACCTCCTCTCCCCTCTCCTCAACCTCCTCTCCCCTCTCCTCAACCTCCTCTCCCCTCTCCTCAACCTCCTCTCCCCTCTCCTCAACCTCCTCTCCCCTCTCCTCAACCTCCTCTCCCCTCTCCTCAACCTCCTCTCCCCTCTCCTCAACCTCCTCTCCCCTCTCCTCAACCTCCTCTCCCCTCTCCTCAACCGCCCCTTCCCTCTCCTCAACCTCCCCTTCCCTCTCCTAAACCTCCTCTCCCCTCTCCTCAACCTTCTCTCCCCTCTCCTCAACCTCCTCTCCCCTCACCTCGACCTCCTCTCCCCTCACCTCAACTACCCCTAACCGCACCTGAACGTCCTCTCGATGCTGCCGTGCTGCGAGTGCGTGGCCATGTGCGCATCCCCCGTGGAGCGGATGGCAACGCGCGTGCAGGCCAGGGCATCAATGCCCTCCGTGACTGAGTTGAGCGAGTACTCTGTGAGCTCCACGTTCAGCTGGCAAGGGGAGGGCACGGGAGGGGTTCAATGGTACATGGGGCAATCGCAACGTGAGTGCAGTGTGCAGGCCAGGGCGTCCATGCCCTCTGTGACTGAGCTGAGCGAGTACTCTGTCAGCTCCACGTTCAGCTGGCGTGGGTCAGGTCAGGGGTAGCGGATGGGGGGCAGAGGCAGAGCATGGGGAGCAAGGAGGGAAGCAATTGCAAAGCGAGTGCAGGCGAGAGCGTCGGTGCCTTGGATGGACAACCAATGAGCGTCGATGCCTTGGATGGACAACCGATGAGAGGGAGGGCGGTACTCTGTTCTGTGAGCTCCACACTCGCCCCCATGAGGGAGGTACTCTGTGAGCTCCACACTCGCCCCCATGAGGGAGTACTCTATGAGCTCCACGTTGCTGTTGATTGATGTTGTTGATGGCCTTGTACACAGCGCCCACTGGCCCCCTGCCCATGGCCGCCTGGATCTGAAATCAATCGCATGCACCCACTTGCACCCACTTGCACCCAGTTTCACCAAGATTCACCCAGCCACACGCACCCCTCAGTCAACTCACATCAACAATGTTGTTGATGGCCTTGTAAACGGCGTCCACTGGCCCCGTGCCCATGGCTGCCTGGATCTGAAGTCAATTGCACCCGCTTGCACCCACTCACAAACTTCATACAGCTCACATTGCCAAGCCATAGAACTCACATGAACGATGTTGTTGATGGCCTTGTAGACAGCATCCACAGGCCCCGTTCCCATGGCCGCCTGGATCTGAAGTCAATTGCATGCACCCACTTGCACCCACCCACACCCAGTTGCACCCAGCACACGCATGCCTCATTCAACTCACATCAACGATATTGTTGATGGCCTTGTAAACGGCATCCACAGGCCCCGTGCCCATGGCCGCCTGGATCACAAGCTCATTGCACCCACTTGCACCCACTCACAAACCTCATGCGGCTCACATTGCCAAGCCACAGAACTCACATCAACGATATTGTTGATGGCCTTGTAAACGGCGTCCACAGGCCCCGTGCCCATGGCCGCCTGGATCTGCTCCACCCCGTCAGGCCCCACCAGCTTCACTGTCGCTGTGGGCAGCCCCATGGTTCCACACACCACCTGCGGTTTAAACGTGGGAGGACGACAATGCAAGGCCGCATATGGGTGGGACATCGCAAAAAAAAGCAATCTGCTCCCCTCCATCCGGCCCCACCAGCTTCACTGTCGCTGTGGGCAGCCCCATGGTCCCACACACCACCTGGGATGGACGGTTGGGAGGACAAGGGTGAGAGCATGGGGGTGTCAGGATGCAAAAGAGCAGGGGAGGGGCATGCACGTGGGAGACCGCAAATGATGCAATTTTCTCCACCCCGCCAGGCCCCACCAGCGTCACTGTGGCCGTGAGTAGGCCCCACCAGCGTCACTGTGGCCGTGCTGTGAGCAGGCCCAGGGTTCCACACACTGCCTACGGCTCGCGAAGGTACAAGTGCAACACAGTTGGATGCACACACCAGTGAGTTGTGTTGTGTTGTGAGGGCCCAGAGCCAGTTTCAAAGTCATGAGGGTGCAGCACAGCAGGTTAAGGTTAAGAAACACGCTCCACTCCTCACTGCCCTGAGAAACGAAACGAAACCACAAGTGCTGCTATGCAACGCAGCAATGTTTGGAGCCATAATCTGGAATCACACAGCTAGGATAATTGCGTGTCACTTGCACGCCCCAATGAGAGCTCACCTGCAGGTTAGCGAACTGCCTCTATTGCCAAGACCATTGAGTACTACTGCCACTATTCCTAACAATTGATTTTGCTTTTAGCCACACACTCTCAGGCCCAGAAGCAGAAATCCAGCCCTGAAATCACACCTGCAGGTCAGCGAGCTCCCAGATGGTCTTGGGCTGGAACACCGAGTCAGACACAAGCGCCTCCACGTCCCCATCCGTGACAATCTTCTTCTTGTCCGCCACCGCTTTGAACCGCTTGAACACCTCATCCAACTCCGCGCTGTCAAAGTCGTACCCCATCTGAGTTGGGGGTTGGGGGGGGGAAGTGTGGGAGCAGGGCAGGGAAAGAGGCCAAGAGACATGTGAGATGCGGGGAAAAGGTGTCTGCACCACTTTGAACCGCTTGAACACCTCACAGCTCCGCGCTATCCAAGTCATAGGCCATCTGAGTTGGGGGAGGGGGGTTGGGAGTGAAAGACGATAGAGCGGGCATGAGCGGGATTGGGTACCAGCCACTACTTTGAACCGCTTAAACACCTCGTCCAACTCCCTGCTATCGGAGTCATAGCCCATCTGAGAGGGGAAGAGGAGGGTGAGTGGGGACAGTGTGAATGAAGGCAAGGGAGACGGAAGAATCAGGCGCCTGGCAGGCACCGCTTTGAACTGCTTCCAACACCTCGTGCAAGTCCCTGCTCTCAAAGTCGTAGCCCATTTGAGAAAGGGGGAAGGAGGGCAGCGAAAGCACTTTGGGCATGGGGCGAGAGGGCGTCCCTGGCAGGCACCGACTTGAACCACTTCCAACACCTCGTCCAGCTCTACACACACTCTCAAAGTTGTACTTCATCTGAGGAGGGAAGGCGAGGAGGGTTGTGAAAAGCTTAACATCTGGGCGATAGAAAGGAAAATTATAGCCCATCGGAGCGAGGATGCACACACAGGGGGCACCACCTATCCCACCCGCCTGCTGCAGGCGGTCTTCGAACACGTGCCGGCCACTGTGCTTGCCCAGGAAGGCTACCTTTGAGTCGACTCAAGAACCACCCACCCTCCCATCCTTTTTTCCTTTCCTCATTCCCCCTCACCGAACCTGCTGCAGGCGTGTCTTGAGCGCACGCCAGCCGTTGTGCTTGGCCAGCAAGGCACCTTTGAAAAGAACCCACTCACCCTTCCTTCCCTCATCCCACTCATCCCACGAATCCCGCTCATCCCACTGGTAGCATCCCACCCACCTGCTGCAGGCGCATCTTGAGCGCGTGGCGGCCGCTGTGCTTGCCCAGCACAATGCCTGCGTTTTAGTCGACTGATGAGCAACCCGCCCTCCCATTCTTCCTTCTTCCCTCTCCTCATCCAACCCATCCCCTCATCCTCCGCATCGCACCTGCTGCAGGCGGTTCTTGAGAGCGTGGCGGCCGCTGTGCTTTCCCAGCCCAGTAAGGTGACCTCTGACTCTGAGTCATCTCAACAACAACCCTGCTTCCCTTCCTCCCCACACCGCACTCATCCCCCACATCGCGCTCATCCCAACCCACTCATCCCACCTGCTGCAGGCGCGTCTTGAGGGCGTGGCGGTCGCTGTGCTTGCCCAGCACAATGCCCTTGGGATTACTAAAAAGTAACCACCCTTCCCTTCCTCCCTCATCCTACTCATCATCCCCGGCATTGCACCTGCTGCAGGCGCGTCTTGAGGGCGTGGCGGCCGCTGTGCTTGCCCAGCACAATGCCTGCGGCGTCGCTGCGCACGATGCCCACGTCCTCTGGCGCCATGATCTCGTACGTGCCCTTGTACTTGAGCATGCCGTCCTGTAAGGAATGGGGGCAAAAGAGGGGGAAGAAGAGGGGGGGGGGGGGTTGAATGGGTGAAACACACATGCAGAGATCTCAAGCGAGTTGGGGAGCTGAGCTAAAGAAAGAAGGGCAATTCAACAAAATCACCCGCTACAGCTGCCATTCCCCTAGTTTGACTGTTAGTCCACCGCCCATCCACCCACACACCCACCCCCGTGAAATGACTCACGACGTGGCGAACCTATTTTTGAGTCAATTAAAAAAATAGGCCCAACAAAGTCACCTGTCTCAGCTGCCATTCCCCTCGTTTTGACTGTCAGTACATGGCCCATCCATCCACACACCCACCCCCGAGAAATGCCTCACTGCTTCATGTGACGAATGCTGCACTCCCTCACCTGGTGAATGCCGCTCTCATGCGCGAAGGCGTTGGCGCCCACGATGGCCTTGTGTGGCTGCACCAGCATGCCCGTGTACTCCGTCACCTGGCCAAGGGGGCGGGAGGGGGGACAAAAAGCGGTACAGGGTGAAGCGAAGGGGCAGGAGAGGGTATGGGCTTATGGAAAGGCATTGGCGCCCACGATGGCCTTGTGCGGCTGCACCAGCATGCCTGTGTACTCCGTCACCTGGTGGGGGGGCAAGAAAGCGGTATGGGGTCAAGGAAGTGGAAAGGAATCAGCTTTTAGAGAGTCAATATCACCCACAACGGCCTTGTGTGGCTGCTCCAGCATGCCCGTGTACTCCGTCACCTGGTGGGGGGGCAGGTGGGGGCAAGAAAGCGGTATGGGGTCAAGGAAGTGGAAAGGAGTCAGCTTTTAGAGAGTCAATATCACCCACAATGGCCTTGTGCGGCTGCACCAGCATGCCCGTGTACTCCGTCACCTGGCGGGGGATTGAGGGGGTGTGGGGAGGAGAGGAGAGTGGTACGGTTGAAGGGAGAGGGAAAAACCTCAGGAGCGGGAAGAGGAGGATGAGGGGGATGAGAGGGAAGAGGAGGATGAGGGGGAGGAGGGGGAAGAGGAGGATGAGGGGGAGGAGGGGGAAGAGGAGGATGAGGGAAAGGAAACGTGCTTGGGGTTGATGCCCATGCCATGTGCCTGCAAAGAGCAGTGAGAAATCTGCTCCAAATTACACTGTGCGTCACATACAGGCACCATACACACCGCCCAAGCAGCGCACACACCATGCGGCTGGAGAGCGCGATGTGCTTGGGGTTGATGCCCGTTTCGTGTACTACCCTCCAAACAGCACCGTGCATCACATAACAAAAACCATACACACGGAGCAAGAAGCGCACATACACACATAGTGCAACCACACCAAGCGTACCATGCGGCTGGAGAGTGCGATGTGCTTGGGGTTGATGCCCGTGTACAGCCCTCCAAACTGCTCCTGCCCGCGACACCGGATTGCCATCACCACCTGCTCAGACCAGATGGGTGGAACAGGCGGGTGGAGCAGGCGGGTGGAACAGTCGGGTGGAACAGTCGGGTGAAACAGTCGGGTGGAACAGTCGGGTGGAACAGTCGGGTGGAACAGTCGGGTGGAACAGTCGGGTGGAACAGTCGGGTGGAAACAGTCGGGTGGAACAGTCGGGTGGAACAGTCGGGTGGAACAGTCGGGTGGAACAGTCGGGTGGAACAGTCGGTTGGAACAGGCGGGTGGAACAGGCGGGTGGAACAGGCGGGTGGAACAGGCGGGTGGAACAGGCGGGTGGAACAGGCGGGTGGAACAGGCGGGTGGAACAGGCGGGTGGAACAGGCGGGTGGAACAGGCGGGTGGAACAGGCGGGTGGAACAGGCGGGTGGAACAGGCGGGTGGAACAGGCGGGTGGAACAGGCGGGTGGAACAGGCGGGTGGAACAGGCGGGAAGGCCAGGTGGGTATGGGAGAAAGGACAAGTGGGTGGGGAGACGAACGAAAGAAGACGTGCGGGAGGAATGTGTTGCTGCTGCTGCAGATACCCCATTCACTTGCTACACATGCTAATGTGTTTCACCTGGAGGGGCTTCTCCGCAGCTCAAGCTATCCAGGAAACGAACTCAGGACAATGGCATTCCGATTCGTCTCATCAGCCCAGCACAACACCCACATCAGCAACAGCCAGCCACAGCAGCCGCCACATTAGCAACAACCGGCCGCAGCTACCACACCATACCCATCAGCCACAGCAGCCAATGACCCTTCCTTCACTCCCCCCTCTACTCCATCCTCACATCCACACTGAACCTCACAGGGTTCCTCCTCTCCCATCCACCTCACGACACCCACACGACGCCCCCACGCACCTCTTCCAGCGACGCGTTGCCCGCCCGCTCGCCAATCCCATTGATGGTGACCTCCAGCTGCCGCGCTCCTGCCTTGGCACCCTGCTCAGTGCGGAGAGGTGGAGCGAGAGGAGCGGTGGAGGGGAGGGGAGGGGAGTGGAGGACGGAAGGGGAGAATGGGAGAGGTGAGAAGGTGAGGAGAAAGGAAAAAAAAAATGGACTCATCACAACGAACAGCTTCGTCTGCTTTTCTTTCTTTGCTCCCTTATTACGTTCTCCGTGCCTTCTGTGCAGGCGTCTCTAACATCGCCAAAGCTACACTCATTCAACTCTGTCTCTCCCTCCCTCCCTCCCTCCCTCCCTCCCTCCCTCCCTCCCTCCCTCCCTCCCTCCCTCCCTCCCTCCCTCCCTCCCTCCCTCCCTCCCTCCCTCCCTCCCTTCCTCCCTCCCACCCTCACTCACTCACCCGATCACTCCGTGCACGCACCGCGAGCGTGTTAGCCGTTGCCAGACCCAGGTCGTTCTGGCAGTGAGTGGAGATGATAACATTCTCTGCGCCCTCCGTGTTCTGCCGGATCTTGGCGATCAGCTCGCCAACCTCGGATGGCATGGTCGGGGCGAGTGTTCCCCACCGTGTCCGGGATGTTCAGACCCACTCACTCACACTTCCTCCCTCCCACGCTCGCTCCCTCCCCCAATCCCTCGCTCGCTCCCTCCCCCAATCCCTCGCTCGCTCCCTCCCCCAATCCCTCACTCGCTTCCTCCCTTCCCCCGCTCCCTCATTCATACCCTCACTCACCGCGAGAGTGTTAGCCGTTGCCAGCCCCAGATCATTCTGGCAGTGGGTCGAAATGATCACGTTCTCAGCGCCCTCGGTGTTCTGGCGGATCTTGGCGATGAGCTCGCCGAACTCCGAGGGCATGGTGTACCCCACCGTGTCCGGGATATTGAGAGTGGTCGCGCCCGCCTTGATCACCTCGCCCAGAATGCGGTACAGGAACTCGGGGTCGGACCTGGGAGGAGGGGAATGGGAGGGGGGCGATGGGAGGGGGAGGGCGCAGAGAGAGAGGACAGAGACAGGGGCGCAGCGGAAGGGCGCAGAGTCAGGTCAGGTCAGGCGGCCTCGTCAATGAGCTCGGCAAACTCGGATGGCATGGTGCACTCTGAGGCGTCCGGGATGTTGAGCGTCGTCGCGCCCGCCTTGATCACCTCGCCCAGAATACGGTACAGGAACTCGGGGTCGGACCTGCGAGGGAGGGGGTAGGGAAGGCGGGAAAGTGGTTGGCGTGAGTGCGGAACACGCCAGCGGGCGGGAGAGGACAGGGCTTGGCCATAAGGGCCGCTTGATGTTCGCCACCATGCTCGTCACCTTCGCTGCTGAGAGTTCTCAGAGGTGACAAAAACAAAGCTCCCCGCCTTCTCTATCGCAACCCCGCATCCGTATATTGCCAGCGCACGGGTCATCAGTAACACCGCATTCCCAGCTCGACCCATCACACCTGCCGCATCCTCCGGGCTGAACTCGATGTCGTTACACCCCAGGCTCTTAGCGTACGCCACCATGCTGCGCCCCAATGCCAGCACGCGGCAGGCTGACATAGCATTGCATCAACCCTATCACCGACACACATCACCAGCAACCACGACACCCTAGCCCACCTGCCAGCGTCTTCCGGGCTGAACTCGATGTCGTTACACCCCAGGCTCTTCGCATACGCCACCATGCTGCGCGCGATCTCGACCACCTCGTCGGGCGACTTCCGCAGCTTGTACTCCATGTGGATCGCGCTCGTCGCGATGAACGTGTGGATGCGCGGCCGCGCCGCGTGCCGCACTGCCTCCCACGACGCGTCGATGTCCGCCTTGTTGCAGCGCGCCAGCCCGCAAATCACGGGCACGTACCCCGTCACCGGGTCGATGTTATTCCCCACCTCCTTGGCGATCGTCCGCACCGCCTCGAGATCATCGGGCGACGCGATGGGGAAGCCAGCCTCGATAATGTCGACGCCGAGCCGCGCCAGCTGGCGCGCGATGTCGAGCTTCTCCTTGCTGGTGAGCGTCGCGCCGGGTGACTGCTCGCCGTCGCGCAGCGTGGTGTCGAAGATGCGGACGTAGTTAGGGTCGTCGATGCGGTTCGGGATGTACTCGGGACGGGACGGCCGCGCCGCGGGCTCGTTTCCATTCACGCTGCTGCGAACGCAGGGGAAGGTTCGTGGGAGCTTCGACGGTTGCGCGTGAGACGCGGCGGAAGTGGGGGCGAAGGTGAGCTGATGGCCGAAGAAGGCTCTGGGAAGTTCACATTGGCGGGAGGCGGAGGAGGTGATGGTGGCGTCGAAACGAGGTACCATGGAAGGGACCACTGCTCGAGTCAGCATCACTCCTGCATGCGCCATGACTGCTAGGTTTGCACCGAGCGAACGGACAGGCGGCGAAACGACGAATTAGATCGAGCGTAAAGACCAAGGGTGACGGTTCCTATTGATATAGAAGCTGCCAATGCGTAAGCTGGTTAGAGCGAGGACTTGAAGAAATCACCAGCACCAAAAGCGAAGAATGCGTGACAAGGAACGTAATTTGTGAACGTGAAGTTGTGAGGGCCGAGAGGAGGGAACGGGTGAGTGTTTATGCATCGGCTAGGCTGTGCGTGGAGCCCTGTCCAGGTTGGGCGCAGAATCTAGGAAGCAGTTGTACAGGGGGAGGGATTCCAGCGAGGCAGCCCGTAGCGACCTCGAGGAAGATGGGCTTGCATGGCGCGCGCAGATTGGTTGAACAGGTGAATGTCAGACGCACAAGATTTTGTCCTGGACGCGGAAGGGGGAATTGCGTGAATTGGATCCAAAAGGAGGGTTTGTGTCAGCCGTTGATGATCCGTGAAATCCCAGGGTTTTGGAGAACCGGGAAGACAAAGTGTAGAGAATTTTATTCCAAACCATACGTCAAATTTGCTACCTTCTCTGCTACCGAGTTCTCCAGTATCGAAGTTAGGGTTCCACTGCTTGCCTTGCTTCTCGTCCAACTTCAAGGCCCTCTTCCGTTCTGCTAGTATCTTCCATACCCTGTCATGCACTCCCACTCGACATACCCTTCTCTCTGCTAACCTTCACGTACCTCCCTCGTACTTGGTATACATAGGTTAGCACTACATAGGCTCAATTGAATGCTTTCTGTGCCTCGCCTAATGTGGAAAATCTAGCGAATTCCGTACCTTTTCGGCTCCTCGCCGCCATAAGTCAGACAATTGCGTCTAGCGTAACTGTAAAGATTGGGGGCTAGCTGACCGCTCGGCATGGATCCGTTGAAGAAGCTAGAGTACCTCTCACTCGTATCCAAGGTGTGCTCGGAATTGGAGACGCACGTCGGCATCGCGGACAAAACGCTCGCGGAATTCATTATCGAGCTCGGGCAGCAGAATTTCACGGTCTCCGCTTTTGACGCTGCCCTGAAAGAAAACGGAGCCGAGCTGCCCGAGTATTTTGTCGGCACGCTTTTGACGATCATCCACGCCGTCCTTCCGCCGAAATCCAAATCCAAGGGCTCAGGAAGGAAAGCGGGCGACGGCTCGGGCAGCTCGAAATTTCCCGGCCTAGCGGTTCCGGATGACAGGGAACGGGCGAAAGCTTTGGAGAAGGAGCTGCTTGGCGAAGCTTCGCGAGACGGGCGAAGAGACGGCGACGGTTACCACGATGACAGGGATCGCGACAGGGACCGAGACAGGGACAGGGACGACGGGAGGCGGCGGCGGTGGGATGATGATGGGAGCGACAGGCATCGGGACCGAGACAGAGACAGAGACAGGGGTAGAGAGAGGGACAGGGACGGCGATAGAGACAGGGACAGGGACAGAGATAGAGGGAGAGATAGGGATGAGAGGCGAAGGGGCGACGAGGAGAGGGACCGACTACCGCCTCGGCCGGCTCTGCCGCCTCCCCCGCCGCCCAGAAGCAGCGAGTTGGAGGTGTACGGCATTTACAAGGGCAAGGTTTCCCGCATCATGGAATTCGGGTGTTTTGTGCAAATAGACCTCCCGGGCAGCCACGAAAAAAAGGAGGGACTGGTGCACGTGTCGCAGATCGCGTCGCGGCGGATTAACAGCGCAAAGGACGCGGTGGAGAGGGATCAAGAGGTGTGGGTGAAGGTGATCAGCATGTCCGGGCAGAAACTCTCTCTCAGCATCCGTGACGTGGATCAGAAAACGGGCAAGGACCTCCTGCCCATGAAAAAAAAACCTTCCGCGGAAGGGGACGGGGAGGGCGACGATCGCAGCAACCCGGCCGGGCCGGGCACGCGCGGATTATCCGGGATCCGCATCGTGGAAGAGGATAACGCCACGGGGCGGCGTCCTGGCCGTCGGATGTCGTCTCCAGAGCGATGGGAGGCGCAGCAGTTAGTCGCCTCGGGGGTTCTAGACGTGACGGATTACCCACAGTACGACGACGAAGGCGGGGGGCTGCTTTATCAGGACGAGGGCGAGGAGCAGGAAGTAGAGATCGAGTTGAACGAAGACGAGCCGGCGTTTCTCCGCGGGCAGACGCGCGCGAGTATCGACGTGTCGCCTGTTAAGATCGTTAAGAATCCTGACGGGTCGCTGCAGCGCGCCGCCATGACGCAGTCCGCGCTCGCCAAGGAGCGCCGCGAGCTGCGCGAGCAGCAGCAGCGCAGCATGCTGGACAGCATCCCGAAAGATCTGAACCGTCCGTGGGAAGATCCGATGCCGGAATCCGGCGAGAGGCACCTCGCGCAGGAGCTGAGGGGCGTGGGGCTCGCCGCGTATGACATGCCCGAGTGGAAGAAAGACGCGTTTGGCAAGGCGCCCACGTTCGGGCAGCGGTCGAAGCTTTCGATGCAGGAGCAGCGGCAGAGCCTGCCAATCTACAAGCTGAAAAACGAGCTGATCCAGGCTGTGAACGAAAACCAGGTGCTGGTGGTGATCGGCGAGACAGGGTCCGGGAAAACCACGCAGATGACGCAGTATTTGGCCGAGGCGGGGTATACGAGCAAGGGGAGAATTGGGTGCACGCAGCCGCGGCGTGTGGCGGCTATGTCCGTTGCCAAGCGTGTGGCTGAGGAGTTTGGGTGCCGGTTGGGGGAAGAGGTGGGGTATGCGATCCGGTTTGAGGATTGCACGAGTCCCGAGACGGTGATTAAGTACATGACGGATGGCATGCTTCTGAGGGAGATTCTGGTGGATGAGGATTTAAGTTCTTATTCGGTGATTATGCTGGATGAGGCGCACGAGAGGACTATTCATACCGATGTGCTGTTCGGGCTGTTGAAAGATTTGCTGGTGAAGAGGAAGGACATGCGGCTGATTGTTACGTCGGCGACCCTGGATGCGGAGAAGTTTTCGAATTACTTTTTCCAGTGCCCGATTTTTACGATTCCGGGCAGGACTTTTCCGGTGGAGGTGTTGTATACGAAGGCGCCTGAGACGGATTATTTGGATGCTGCCCTGATTACGGTGATGCAGATTCACCTGACCGAACCTGAGGGCGACATTCTTTTGTTTCTGACCGGGCAGGAGGAGATTGACACGTCATGCCAGATTCTGTACGAGCGAATCAAAGGGCTCGGGCCGTCGGTCCCGGAACTTATCATCCTGCCCGTGTACAGCTCCCTGCCCAGCGAAATGCAGACGAGAATCTTCGACCCTGCCCCACCGGGCACCCGAAAAGTCGTCGTGGCCACTAACATCGCAGAAGCATCCCTGACCATTGATGGGATCTACTACGTGGTTGATCCGGGCTTTGCCAAGCAAAAAGTCTACAACCCGAAGCTGGGTCTCGATTCCCTCGTCATCACACCCATCTCCCAAGCCTCGGCGCGGCAGAGGGCCGGCCGAGCCGGACGCACAGGTCCGGGGAAGTGCTACCGGCTGTACACGGAAAGCGCGTACCGCAACGAAATGCTGCCCACCACAGTGCCCGAAATCCAGCGCACCAACCTGGGCATGACAACCCTAACTCTTAAAGCCATGGGCATCAATGACCTGCTGGCGTTTGACTTCATGGATCCGCCACCACCCCAGGCTTTAATCTCCGCCATGGAGCAGCTGTACAATCTCGGAGCGCTGGATGAGGAGGGGCTGCTGACGAAACTCGGGCGGAAAATGGCCGAGTTTCCGCTCGAGCCGCCGCTGTCAAAGACACTGATCGCGAGCGTGGATCTGGGTTGCTCCGAGGAGATTCTGACGATCATCGCGATGCTGCAGGCGCAGAATATCTTTTACCGGCCGCGCGAGAAGCAGGCGCAGGCGGATCAGAAGAAGGCCAAGTTTTTCCAGCCCGAGGGGGACCACCTGACGCTGCTGGCTGTGTACGAGGCGTGGAAGGCCAAGAACTTTTCAGGGCCGTGGTGCTATGAGAACTTTGTGCAGAGCCGGTCGCTGCGGCGCGCGCAGGACGTGAGGAAGCAACTCCTCACGATCATGGACCGGTGAGTTGAGGGGGGAAGAAACGGGGTGGGTGGGTAGTGGGGATCAGGTGGGCGGGTTGTGAGTCGAGTCACAGGCATCAGAAGAAGGCCAAGTTCTTTCAGCCCGAGGGGGACCACCTGACGCTGCTGGCGGTGTACGAGGCGTGGAAGGCCAAGAACTTCTCCGGGCCGTGGTGCTACGAGAACTTTGTGCAGAGCCGGTCGTTGAGGCGCACACAGGATGTAAGGAAACAGCTTCTCACCATCATGGACCGGTGGGTTTGAATGGGGGAAAGGGGGGGATGGGGGTTGGGATAGAAGGGGTGGTGATTGTGACCTAGATTGTGGGGGGTCAACCTCCTCGTCCCGCCCCCCGCCCCCCCTCTCGCCCCTCCTCTCCTCCCTTCCCCTCTCCTCCCCGTTCCGCACACGCATGCAGGTACAAGCTGGACGTTGTCTCGGCCGGTCCCAAATTGATTGAAATCCAGAAAGCCATGTGTTCAGGCTTCTTCTTCCATGCAGCACCCCAGGTCCCACAAGAGGGCTACCGGAGCATCGTGGAGAACCAGCCCGTCTAAATCCACCCCTCCTCCGCTCTCTCACCAGAGACTCCCTTCTTTGTGTCTCCTTTTGTCCGTTTCCTCATTCCCTCGCCCCTGCATGCCCCTCATCTCTCCATCCCCCACCCAGGTACAAGCTGGACGTCGTGTGAAAGAAGGAGTGTTTTGAGACGTGCGTCTCAAAACACTCCATCCCCCACCCAGGTACAAGCTGGACGTCGTCTCTGCTGGCAGAAACTTCATCAAGATCCGCAAGGCGCTCTGCTCAGGCTTCTTCTTCCATGCGGCCCGCAAGGATCCCCAAGAGGGGTACCGCAGCATCGTGGAGAACCAGCCCGTCTACATCCACCCCTCCTCCGCACTCTTCCACATGCTCCTCCTCTCCTCTCATGCACCTCTTTCTCCCCGTTTCCCCTTCGCCTCTCCTCTCCTCTCTTCTCCTCCCCTCTCCTCGTTCCTGCTTGTCTTCCCTCCCGCACACACATCCAGGTACAAGCTGGACGTGGTATCAGCAGGCAGAAACTTCATCAAGATCCGCAAAGCCCTCTGCTCAGGCTTCTTCTTCCATGCGGCCCGCAAGGATCCTCAAGAGGGCTACCGCAGCATCGTGGAGAACCAGCCCGTCTACATCCACCCCTCCTCAGCGCTCTTCCAGCGCCAACCCGACTGGGTTTTATACCACGAGCTGGTGATGACGACTAAAGAGTACATGAGGGAGTGCACGCTGATTGATCCAAGATGGCTGGTGGAGCTGGCGCCGCGGTTCTTCCGACAGGCGGATCCCACGAAGCTGAGCAAGAGGAAGCGGCAGGAGCGCATCGAGCCGCTGTATGATCGTTATCACGAGCCGAACGCATGGCGGCTGAGCAAGAGAAGGGCGTAAAGCGGAAGGGGGGGGTGAGGGTGGGGCAGATGAGGGTGAGGAGGTGTTGAGTTGCTTTGTGAATCCTCTCAGGAGCGGATCGAGCTGCTGTATGACCGGTACCATGAGCCCAACGCATGGCGGCTGAGCAAGAGGCGGTCGTAAAGGGGGGGAAGGTTGGGAGGGTGGGGGGTGAGGAGAGGAGGTCCGTGATGAGCTGTATAAGCAATTCATTAAGCCGCTGTATGACCCATACCATGAGCCGAACGCGTTGCTGCTGAGAAAGAGGAGGGCGTAGGCATGGGAGAAGGGGCAGGGGGGCAGGGGGTGCAGGGGGTGCAGGGGGTGCAGGGGGTGCAGGGGGATTGGGTGGAGGTGAGGAGGAGGCGTTGGGTGCCTGATGGGCTGTGTCAGCACTGCATGGAGCCACTGCAGTGCATGGAGCCACTGCAGTGCATGGAGCCACTGCAGTGCATGGAGCCACTGCAGTGCATGGAGCCACTGCAGTGCATGGAGCCACTGCAGTGCATGGAGCCACTGCAGTGCATGGAGCCACTGCAGTGCATGGAGCCACTGCAGTGCATGGAGCCACTGTGTGATTGGTATCATGAGACTAATGTGTGTGTGTGGCAGCTGAGCAAGAAGAGGGTGTAGTCATGGAAGAGGAGGGTTGGGGGTGCGTTGTTGTGGTGCCTTTTTTACCCCCAGCTGGGGATGTACAGATGGCATGAGGTGTGCAAGTGGCTTTTGTGGAGGAACGGTGTAACTGAGTGGGCTTGCTTTCCGGAGGACTTCTGTTTTTTGTCACCAAGGAGAGGTGCTTGGTTAGTGGAGAGGTACTCTTTCTTTGAAACTAACTGTTGCTGAGAAAGGTTGCGCATCGTAATCACTGCTGTATGTCATCATTTCTAGCCTTGATGTCAGCCTTATTGCCTGCTGATTGGTACCATATCATACTACTAACTTTCTTGGTTCATTCATGGGCCTCAGTTATCAGGATAATTTATCCTGATTCTCCTGAATTCAGGATAGCTGTCGTGTGCTAGTCCTGGAAAAACAGCATAACAGGAATAATTGTCCTGTAATTTCAGTATAACGGTTATTTTGCGTACTGAAAACTCAGGATAAGGCTGTAGGTTCAGCCCTGATGAGTCATGATAGTGTCGAATCTCGCTCTGAAGATGTACTGTACGAAAAATCTCCTGGGTTTCGAGGCCTAAAGCTACATATGTCTCTCTTATTGTGCGCCTCCTCGGTCATTTGTACAGGCAGATCAGTGTGGCATGCACTGCACTGCACACTGATGTGCTTGGAGTTGGGAGGTCAGGTTGAGGTGGTGCGGCAGGGCAGGAAGTGTGCTTGACAACTGGTGTTGGTGGTGTGAATCGTGATATGCTACCCGTGAGGGTTTAGGATGAGGCAAGCTCATGTTGGTACCGGTACCGGTGCGCTATGCACTGACAAGCTGCCCACACGTTAGAAAGAGTACTTTTGAGACGTCTCAAATGCTGGTACCGGTACGCTATGCACTGACAAGCTGCCCACACGTTAGGCGTTGGAGTTGGGGAGGCGCCTTGAAGTGGCAGCAGAGCGGGCGCGCTCAGCTGTGAACCTGGCATAGTCGCTGAGAACTCGGTTGTTCACTCTGTCCTTCATTGATGCCAGCAGCTGCTGCAACACCTGAAAGCAAACACGATGGAAGGAAGGGAAGGGCGACGAGTGTGGTTGGTACAATTGCAGAGAACTCGGGATAGTCACTGAGAACTCGGTTGTTCACTCTGTCCATTGATGCTAGCAGCTGCTGCAACACCTGATGCAAACACAATGGGAGGAAGGAGGGGAAGGACAACGCGTGCTGTTGGTAAAATTGTTGAGAAAGCGGTTGCTCACCCGGTCTTTCCTTGATGCTAGCAGCTGCTGCAACACCTGGTGCAAACACAACGGGAGGAGGGCAGGGAAGGCCGATGAGTGCACTTGGTATGGTTGCTGAGAACTCGGTTGATCATTCTGTCTTTCATTGACGCTAGCAGCTGCTGCAACACCTGGAAGGAAACACAATGGGAGGAGGGAAGAGAAGGACGACGCGTGCGGTTGGTACAGTTGTTGAGAACTCGGTTGTTAACTCTGTTTTTGCATTCACGCTAGCAGCTGCTGCAACACCTGGAACCAAACAGAGTGGGGCGAGGGAAGGGCGACGAGTGCACTAGGTATAGTTGTTGACAACTCAGTTGTTCCCCCAGTCTTTCATTGATGCTAGCAGCTGCTGAAACACCTGATGCAAACAGAATGGGAGGAGGGAAGGGCGATGAGAACTATACCCAGCACTGGTATAGTTGCTGCGAACTTGGTTGTTCACCCTATTCTTCATTGCGAACTCGGTTGTTCACCCTGTTCTTCATTGCGAACTCGGTTGTTCACCCTGTTTTTCATTGCGAACTCGGTTGTTCACCCTGTTCTTCATTGCGAACTCGGTTGTTCACCCTGTTCTTCATTGCGAGCTCGGTTGTTCACCCTGTTCTTCATTGCGAGCTCGGTTGTTCACCCTGTTCTTCATTGCGAACTCGGTTGTTCACCCTGTTCTTCATTGCGAACTCGGTTGTTCACCCTGTTCTTCATTGCGAGCTCGGTTGTTCACCCTGTTCTTCATTGCGAACTCGGTTGTTCACCCTGTTCTTCATTGCGAACTCGGTTGTTCACCCTGTTCTTCATTGCGAACTCGGTTGTTCACCCTGTTCTTCATTGCGAACTCGGTTGTTCACCCTGTTCTTCATTGCGAACTCGGTTGTTCACCCTGTTCTTTATTGCGAACTCGGTTGTTCACCCTGTTCTTCATTGCGAACTCGGTTGTTCACCCTGTTCTTCATTGCGAACTCGGTTGTTCACCCTGTTCTTCATTGCTGCTAGCAGCTGCGGCAACACGTGGAAGTGAGTAGAGGGGTGGAGGCAAGGCCAACGACCACAGTTCAGAGATCTCGCCAGACTCAGGTCAACTCAGGTCAACTCAGGTCAGAGACCACAGGTCAACTCAGGTCAGAGACCACAGGTCAACTCAGAGATCCAAAATGACTAGAAAGCACACCAAGCTGCCAACCCAGCCCGCCGCCAACTCAGTGTGCTGCTTTCTCGATGGACTGAAGACACACAAGGAAGAGGTTGGGCGGCACTGCGATGCAGATTCACTGCATTGCCAACTCACAGTGCTGCCAGCTAGCCATGCTAGTTCACCGCTGCCGACTCACTGCGCTACCAACATTCTCTATGGACTGGCTGGGCACGAGGATGAGGTAGGGTGGCACCTGCATGCCCACCGTCACCGTTCTGCCAAACCGATACATTGTCACACAACATGCTGCTAACTCACCACACTGCCTGCCAACTCATTGCTGCCAACTCATTGCTGCCAGCTCACCGCGCTGCCAACAGCTTCAACGGACTGCCGTGGCACGAGGAAGAGGTTGGGTGGCACCTGCATGCCCACCGTCACCGTTCTGCCAAACCAGTACATTGTCACACAACATGCTGCCAACTCACCACACTGCCTGCCAACTCACCGCGCTACCAACAGCTTCAATGGACTGGCGGGGCACAAGGAAGAGGTTGGGCGGCACCTGCATGCCCACCGTCACCGCCATCTGTCCCCGCAGCATACTCCGGGCGGCACTGTGCCGGCCACCATAGCTCATGCTACTACTGCTGCTGCTACTACTGCCAGATCTGCTGGAGCTACTGTAAGCAGTCATGGTGGCGCTGCCATTCCCACTGCTGCTGCTACTGCTGCTACTGCTGCTGCTGCTACTGAAGCTGAAGCTAGAGCCGTTCCCCTGTGCCTGCCTGCTGCTGCTGGCATAGCTGGTGACAACGGTGGGCTGGTTCGGCCGGGCGGCGGACTGGGCAAAGAGGGATCCGCGCACGTCGAGGGAGAAGTTGGCCGGGTCGTAGTCCACTCCCTTGAGCTCCCAGTTGGTCTGTTGTTATGGGACAGAGCACCGGGAAAGGGAAGGAGAGACGGTTTAGTCGACTCAAGATCCACCTGTGCACGTCCAGAGAGAAGTTGGCAGGATCGTAGTCCACTCCTTTCAGCTCCCAGTTAGTCTCATACGGGAAGAGGGAGCATGGATAGGCAAGGAAGGGCGTGTGTGACAAGCGGAGCAAGTGTGTGGAGGAAACCGATTTATTTTTTAGGCACCTCCCAGATCATGCGTTATATTGGAGGAGACATTGACGAGGGCAATGCAATGAGGGGCAACTGTGCAATGAAGTTGCTGATGTGGCCCTGCATGCAATGGAAGAGCACGAGATGACTTGCCTTTGTGCCACACCAGAGCATGCAGCGATTACCATTTTCAACGACATCACCTCTGCTTGCGCCTCACTGCTCTGCTCCTAGTGGCACTTCACCCATAAAGCGTGTCGCGAGGAAGATGCGCGTGTCCACTATTGGGCACGCTGTGACAAGGATCACAAGGGATGAAAGGGCGTCTCACCGCTTGCAGGCGCATGACATGCTTCACGGAGGAAGCTTCTCGGACTCGGTCGAGCACTGGAGAGGGTTGGTCGAGGAAGATTCGCATGTCCACTATTGGGCGCGCCGTGACGAGGATCGCAAGGGATGGAAAGGCATCTCATTGCTCGCATCAGCCTCACCATTCACATGCTCACCGCTTGCAGGCGCATGACATGCTTCACGGAGGAGGCATCTCGGACTCGGTCGAGCAGTGGGGAGGGTTGGTCGAGGAAAATTCGCATGTCCACTATTGGGCGCGCCGTGACGAGGAAGAACGTGATTGGCAGCATGTGGATGCGCCACAGGTCCTGTATCCGCAATGGGGGAATGGATGATGGCGGGATGGGCAGCACAGCAGTACATGTGATCAACATAGGGATGCAAAAGTGATCTCTGACGCGCCTCGAAAAGCAGAGGGGAGGGGCGGCGGCCGAGGAAGATTTGCTCTCGATTGGGTGGGTGCGTCCACTATTGGGTGCGCTGTGACGAGGAAGAACGTGATTGGCAGCATGTGGATCCGCCAGTCGTCCTGCACAATAGAGATCAAGAATGCCCAGCTGAATGCGCATGTTCCCGTACGTACACAGTGGTTGTGATTGGATGCTCTTTGGCTTTCAAAAACGGATGTTGACCAACACTTGTCTTGATTCGACCCGTCTCCTGCTTGCCTCCTCAAACCACCAGCATGCATCACACCACTCCTATCAATCGTCACATGGGAAGAAGAGGTGAAGAGGCAGCATAGCAGAGCGTGGCACCCAACACTGCTGTCAACTCCCTCACCTCGGAGAGCTTTTCAGAGCGCTGCTTGTCCGGGAAGAAAGCGTCAAAGACTCTGTTAGGATTCTCCAAGTACTCGTGAAAGGGCGCCTGGTGATGGGTACATGGAGAGAAAGGGCAGGAGGGTGAAGACGATGGCTTGTTTGAGTGTGACTCAAGGTGCCATGAAAGACTCTGTTGGGGTTCTCCAAGTACTCGTGGAAGGGCGCCAGGTGACGGGTAGAGCAAGAGGGAGGGGCAGGAGCGGGAAGATTAAGGGGATTTTTTAGTCAACTCAGGAAGGCGGCTCAAGTCCTGGTTCGGACTCTCCAGGTACTTTTGGAGGGGCGCCTGCTGACGTGGCGGGTGCAGCGAGAGAGAAAGGGCAGGAAGGAAAATCTGACTGGTTCTTTAGAATTCTAAAAAATTGCTCAAAAGATGAGTGCGCGCAGTCCGCTGTGACATGTGGCGTAGGTACATGAAATTTGACTCTTGAGTCGACTCAAAAGTCACATGTGGCGTAGGTACATGAAATTTGACTCTTGAGTCGACTCAAAAGTCACATGTGGCGTAGGTACATGAAATTTGACTCTTGAGTCGACTCAAAAGTCACATGTGGCGTAGGTACATGAAATTTGACTCTTGAGTCGACTCAAAAGTCACATGTGGCGTAGGTACATGAAATCTGCTCCAAACAGCAGTTTGTGGACACGAGAGCGTAAGAATGGGTGGGACTGGAAAGCCCTGGCTGGGTGGGACTGGAAAGCCCTGGCTGGGTGGGACTGGAAAGCCCTGACGGCGAAAGCGCAGCGGCGGATGGTGCGGAGAGGGCTACCTCAGGACGTTACCGCGGCGGAATGTTGGTGCCAAGCGACGCTGTGAATTCCACCAAGTCCCCAAGCCCGTTTTATGGCGCCTCAACAGCTTACCTCGAGATCCAGGACCTTACCTCTGGTCGTTCTCGGAGCGGAATGTTGGTGTCGAGCGACGTGGTGAATAGAATTACACGCAGTCCCCCATCGCCTTTTGGGGGGCCTCAAGAGTTACTTGCCGAGTGAGATGAACGTTGAAACGTTTCGAAAGTCACAAGCCTACCTCTGGTCGTTCTCGGAGCGGAATGTTGGTGTCGAGCGACGCGGTGAACTCCACGAAGTCGACACTTGCCTGCGCGACCCCCACTAGCCCTCGCTGGCCATGTCTGCCGCAATCCCCGCCGTCAATACCGGCGCCCCTTCGTCGAAGTCGCTTCGGAATTCCGGGAACGAGCTGATTCCGCAATTGCGTACTCGATTCTCGCGAGGAGTGCGAAGAATTCGGGAATTTGGGACAAATTGAGCAGTGAGGTTGGCGACGAAGCGACAAGCCTGGCGACTGCGTGCGACGGGTGACGAGGCCAGCGACTGCTTGTCGCCGAGCGTCGCACGTGACGAGAGCGCCATTCGCGGCGACGGCCGCTCCTCGGGTTGCTAGCGCTCCCCACGCCGCCATCGCAGGAGTCACCAAGGCGAAAAAGGGAGAAAAAAAATACCTAAATTATCGAAGCACACCAGAGTCGACTCAAGAGGCAGCGTAGCGCACTCGTGGTACGAAAAATACCTGATGGACCCCCACGGTACTATCTAGGATCCTCGGGTGGCTTCTCTCGCACGAAGTACTGTGGAGTGGAAATGTTGTAAAATAGGAGGATGCACATATGAGGTGGGGGAGGGGGAGCAGGGCGACAATCCCGAGGGCCGATGCCTGTCAGGGGTGCTGTGTTGGTGTCAATGCGTCCCAAGGTGGGCCCCTCGTGTCGTTTGGGCTTCCCGCTGGCAATCAGTTTGCTGACCCGAAGTCCGTAACAAAGCCCGTACTGCAGGGGCGCGATTGCACGTTTCGCAGGGTGTTCAAATCCCCGTGACTCGTTCAAAGAACAGAACCTCTCGTGCATTTCGTGCAAGCATGGATCAGGTAATGTAGGACAAACGGAATGGTTGCAAAATTCGAAAGGCTGATGCTAAGGAATGGAAGGATGCTTGTGCAAATAGTTACTTCACAGAGTTATCCTGAAAAAGCTATTAACGAAGCACTTTTTTGGATCAAGCGTTGCTGGTCACGTTCTAGGACATCGACACTTGTCAGCTACTAGCTCGACCTTTCATTCCACACCATGGCGCCTCGAGAAAGAAGCACCGAGTGCGCCACGGATGGCGCCGCGATTTCTGATCCAGGACGAAACCTATCGCATCGCGTGTCGGCACCCGCCTCCTCCGGGTCGCGACTCTGGTTCAGGATTTCATTCCCTCTCGTCGCGTCTTTCTCACCGTCGCACGTAAATCCGCAAATCTCCCGCATCTCATTTCGTCGGTTTCCCACCCGCAAGAAAATAATCTCCATCGATTGATGCGATAGTGTGAAAACATTTGTGCTCTCACGATCTTCCCCTTGCTACCTTCGTACACGTTATCGGCGAGCCTACCAAGAGTGCGCAATCATGCAGGAGAAGCAACAGCCACAGCAGCAGCAGCAGCAGCAGCAGCAGCAGCAGCAGCAGCAGCAGCACACGCGGCACGAGGCGCATCACGAGCTCCCAGCTACGCATGCCACGTCAGAGCGGCCCGGCCGAGTGGTGGTGGAAGGCGAAAGCATCGCGCCTTTTCTGGAGAAGCAACCCGGAAAGATCGCCATGCCCGCCAAGTCCGCTGAATCTGCCGGCCGCGACTCGTCTGAGGCAGGCTTATCTGAGGGCGGTGTATCTGAGGGTGGTTTATCCAGTGGAGGTGGGTATTCTGGTCTCACTGCTCCTGCCAGGGAGGAATCGGAATCTTTGGAGGAGTTCAGAGTGGTTGGTAAGGGCGGGAAGGTCAAAGGAGGCGACAAGGGGGAGCCGGTGGAGCTGGAGACACGTGGCGTGCAGGGACTGGCGGAGGAGGAAGGAGCTGCTGCACGTGAGACCAAGGCAGGAGGGGGGAAAGCGCATGAGCGTGCTTCCGGGTCTGAGGAGGAAGCTTTGGAGAAGGCTGGAGAGGTGCCAAAGGGGGAAGCAACAACGGAGCAGGAGGAAAAAGCTCTGGCTGGGGAGAAAAAGCGCGCAGGGGAGAAGGGGAAAGTAGGGGCAGGGGTGGAGCAGAAAGAGGGGACAGGGGTGGAGGCGAAAGAGGGAGTTGGGGCAAAGGAAGAAGAGGGGCCAGGGGAAGGGCCAGGGGCGGGATCTGCTGTCATGCGCGGAGTGGATAAGGGGGAAGTTGCGGGCGGGCGCACTGGTGGTGGGGGCGCGGAAGGGGGGATTGAGGCGCAGGAGACTGCTGGGTGGAAGGCGGAGAGGGGGGGTGAGGAGGTGAGGCGGCTGGAAGAGGGGGTGGGGAAAATGTCGCTGGGGGAGGGGGGGGGCGCAGCAGAGAAGGGGGGAAACGGCGGGTGGGAAAGGGGCAGAAGGGGAAGGGGCGGGGGGAAAGGGGATGCGCGGAGTGGAAGAGGGGCTGCAGAGGCTGACGGTTTCGGACATTGGGGGGATGAGAGGGCGCGGTGGGGAGGGGGAGGAGTCAATGGCAGGCGCGCAGGGTGGGAAGGCAGGGAAGGTATTGGAGAAGGCGAAGGGTGGGCAGGCAGGGGTTTCTGGAACGCCTGAGGGGCAGCCTGAGGTGGGAGGGGTGGAACATGGAATGAGGAGGCTGGCAGTGTCTGGTCAAGGTGGGGAGAGCAGTGGGGAGGAACGGAAGGAAGGTGGGAAGGAGGGAGGTGGGTTGGAGGTGGGGGGGGCAGAAGGTGGGGGTGGGGTTGTGGTGGGTGGCGGGGTTGTGGAGAGGGCGCAGGATGTTGCCACGTCAGCATGGACCAGCTCCACTGGAGCAATTGCAGATACTGTTAAGGTGACTAAGAACTTTTGAGCTTAGTCTCAACAGTTTCTTCACAGGATCACCCTCACATGCTTAGTATCAACAGTTTTTTTTTTTCAGATTTTTGTCAGGATCACCCTCACATGCTGGGCTCCCTCACTGGATTCGCCTCCACCAGTTCATTCAGTTCGGGGTTACTCAGCGTGTGCTCCCATCCCATCCCCCATTCCCGCTATCCCCGTTGCCTTCCAGGTGCTGGGCTCCCTCACTGGATTCGCCCCCACCAGTACCGAGGTGCCGGCCAATGCTGCCCGAGGCTCAGGTATGTGCACAGGTGTAGGAGGGGCTGGGGATGAGGGCGGGATGAGGGCTGCTTATAAGACGAGTGATTGTTGACGGGACAGGTGCTGCTGGTATGATGATGTGGTGGGCATGTGGCATGGGGGTAAGGGGTGTGATGGTTGTGATCTTGTGCGGTGGTGTGATCTCATGTGCACTATGCTCTTGTGCGGGGTGTGCTGGCAGGGTGTAATCGCACGCGGATGTGACATTGTGTTTGTTGTGCTGTTCGTGCTCTGTCATTCTCATCGGGTGTGTGTCGTCCATTCTCAGTTTCATAAGATCATGGCTCTGTGTAATTGCAGCAGGTGGTGTACAGGAGCGTACCGCGCAATCCCAGGAGGAGTAACTGGTACAGAAAGAGTTTGAATATGCATTAGTGTATGTACATAGTCAGGACACTTTTCAATGAGTACTGAGAAGAACAGAATGGCAATTGCTCATCGGTTCTTTCAGTAATCCTTACAATTTTGATTTTATCACAATGTTACAGGCTCCCTCTCTAGATAACTCTTATCACAGTTTGGCATTACTACAATCTGGAGAACAAAATTTGTTGGTGATTTATGGTGCTATGCTAGATAGTTCGCTAGCAGTGAAGTGAAATTTGGTGCTATGCATCTGTGAATACTGTAGTTATAACAAGCTTGATTGCATACTGTAATCGTAACAGAAGTTCACCTGATACCGTACTACCCAGTGGGCATGCATCCTTTGTGTGCACACAACCCATAAAATCCAGTAATGAGCGTTGCAGAGCTTGGTGGATACAACACCCCAAAAATAAGCAATCCACTAGCCCAAAACCTTGATAAATCCTGTAATGCAGAGACAGAATCACACTTTGATGTTCATGCATGCAAGCAGCTGCTTAGCTCTCCGTATCCGTAGATCTCAGAGGAATCGGAGATGAAGGTGGCCGCAGATCAGGGAACATGGTGTAAGGGCTGAGGGGCCGGTTTGCATATGGCAGGTCGGATTTGCTGCTGCTGCTGCCATTTCCGGAATCACCGGCAACCTCCCATGGCCACTTCAGCTCAAGGCCCTTGGCCTCACCTTCTGAAGTTTTAACCCACACTCTCTTCGAATCAGCAGGAGCATCAGCAGCAGGAGCCACAGCTGTTGCTGCCACCTCAGACTTTGCAGGTGCTGAGACAGGTTCTGCCTTTGGCGATGCAGGTGCCGCAGGAGCAGGGGGTGGCTCTGATGTTACCTTGGCGGCAACAGGAGTTGGAGGGGATGGAGTCGGAGAGGTCGGAGGCTTCAGGTCCTCATACCTGAGAATTGAAAAGAAAAACATAACACAATTTAGGAACACACATTCGGGATAATAGTAAACAGGCACACATTGGCACAATGACCCAATCCTTACTGAGTGTAGGGAGACAGAGGGGTCGGGCTGGGTGGAAGGTCGGTGGAGGACTTCTTTTCCTCCTCTGCAACCTGCCATGGCCAACGGAAGTTGAGGCCGCCAGCACTGGCCTGTGCCGCTGGAGCAGCCTCCTTCTCCTTGGCAGCTGCTTCAGCCTTGGCCTTGGCTTCTGCCTCAGCCTTGGCCTTCGCTTCTGCCTCACCCTTAGCCTTAGCCTCTGCCTCAGCCTTGGCCTTGGCCTCTGCCTCAGCCTTGGCCTTGGCCTCTGCCTCAGCCTTGGCCTCTGCGTCAGCCTTGGCCTTGGCTTCGGCCTCAGCCTTGGCCTTAGCCTCAGCAGCAGCCTTGGCTTGAGGATCAGGCTTGGGAGGAGATGGAGTGGGAGACGTTGGGGGTTTCAAATCAGGGTACCTGAAAATCAAACAGAGGACAAAGAACATAAGTAACATAGATAATTGCTCCAGAAAATCACTCCCTTATCGTAGCTGACAGAATCCAAATACTTACATTGTGTAAGGAGAGAGTGGCGTTGGACTAGGAGGCAGATCGGTGGAACTCTTCACCTCAGCAACTTGCCACGGCCAGCGAAATGGTAACCCCCCTCCACTGCTCTTGGCCTTCGCCTCTGCTTCAGCCTTCGCCTTAGCAGCTGCGTCAGCCTTTGCCTTGGCTTCTGCCTCAGCCTTGGCCTTGGCTTCAGCTTCAGCCTTTGCTTTAGCCTCAGCCTCGGCCTTGGCCTTAGCCTCTGCTGCAGCCTTGGCCTTGGCATCAGCTTCTGCCTTTGCTTTAGCCTCAGCTTCTGCCTTTGCTTTAGCCTCAGCTTCTGCCTTTGCTTTAGCCTCAGCCTCTGCCTTGGCCTTGGCAGCAATTGCTTCAGGGCTAGGCTTAGGAGATGGAGTTGGAGAAGTTGGGGGTTTCAGGTCCGGGTACCTGAAACATGACATTGGCATTATTGTATGTTATTGTTTGAATTTGAGGTACAATATGGTCCAGAATCCGCGACATTGATGCTTTTGTTTTGTTCATTTGATAATAGCCATTGTTATCTTATCACTCGAAATGTAGAACTCACATGGTGTAGGGTGAAAGCGGAGTCGGGCTTGGTGGGAGGTCGGTAGATGACTTCGGCTGCTCCACCTGCCACGGCCAACGAAATCCACCTCCACTTGCTGCGGCCTTTGCCTTGGCTTCCGCCTCAGCCTTTGCTTTAGCCTCTGCCTCTGCCTTCGCCTCTGCCTCCGCCTTCGCCTCTGCCTCTGCCTTCGCTTCTGCCTCCGCCTTCGCCTTCGCTTCTGCCTCTGCCTTCGCCTTCGCCTCCGACTCCGCCTTCGCCTTCGCCTCCGCCTCCGCCTTCGCCTTCGCCTCCGCCTTCGCCTTCGCCTCCGCCTTCGCCTTCGCCTCCGCCTTCGCCTTCGCCTCCGCCTCCGCCTTCGCTTTGGCCTCCGCCTCAGCCTTCGCTTTCGCCTCCGCCTCAGCCTTCGCCTTCGCCTCCGCCTCCGCCTTCGCCTTAGCCTCGGCCTCAGCCTTCGATTTCGCCTCGGCATCAGCCTTGGCCTTAGCCTCAGCCTTTGCCTTAGCCGCGGCCTCAACCTTTGCCTTGGCTTCAGCTTCAGCCTTGGCCTTCGCTTTGGCTTCAGCCTCTGCCTTGACCTTCGCAGCAGCCTGCTCCCTGGCCTTAGCCAGTGCCTCTGCATCCGCCTTAGCCTTGGCTTCTGCCTCTACCTTAGCTCGAGCTTCAGCTTCTGCTCTTGCCTTCGCCAGTTCAGCGGCAGCTGCTGCAGCAGCCTCCTTCTCACGCAATTCACGGATGAGGCGGTCCTTCTCACGCTGGCTCAAGCTGCACAAGTACACAATGGCAAGAAGGCGAACTTCAACCAATGCCCATATATCCATGGCTTTAACCATTCGGTCGCAAAAAGAAGTCAACATCAGTCAACAGAAGTACTTACATCCGACCTTCCGCGGCTGCAGCAAGAACGGCCTCCTCCACAACCTTAGCCTCTCTAGCAGCTTGAGAAGCTGCAGCTGCTCGTGATTCGATCTCTTGGCGCTTCTGCTCGAGAGCAGCCTGCTCAGCAGCGACTGACTGGGCCTCAGCAAGAGCCTCCTCTTTTTGCTGACGAGCAAGTTCAAGCTGCTCGGCCAACTTTGCCCTTGCCTCGGCAGCCTTACGCTCAGCTGCTTCTGTCGCCCCTGCCTGCTTCTGCCTTTCCCGTTCTGAAACCGCAGCCTCCTTCTGTTTCTGCTTCCTTGTGTCCACTACAACAACTTCCTCCTGCCAGCAAATGACAGACAAATGTGAGACGATAAAATAAACTCCAGCAGATGTATTGCAAAATCAATAATCCCAACAATAAGCTTACCACTTCGTATTCGTCATCATCCTCCTCCACATCATCTGAAGGAATGGCCGCCAAGAGGCTCTCAATAGATTCTTCGGGGGCTGTCGTCTCAGCAACCGCTTCCACAACCTTGTTGGCTGCAAGATTTGGCTTGTTCAACGCCACCGCAACCAGCTCGGCAATCTGCATCAACGTGCCCACGAGTTAACTACATTGCACATAACTACGAAAGCGTTAACGGGTTGTAAGTCCAAATACTTGGCATACCTGCAAGGTGGACACTTGTCCGCCCGTTAAAGTGCCACCCTCCTCCAGCTTCAGGTTATGTGTTTCCTTGAAGGAATCAGTCGGCCTCTCCATTCCACCAGGACGAATGATCTGTCAAATACCAGTTGCCACCAAAATCAGCATTGCAAGCACAAAACCTCGCGAGCTTCGTAACATGGATTAGCTACAGTGACGTACCAAATACGGAACGCCGCTCGCTATCAAGGTCTTCTCAGCCTGCGCCTTCCAGAAGAGGACGCCCCAGAACAAGCTGAGGGGAGAACGATAACTTGTGTGAGAAACCAGTCATTTTTCGAAGAAAAGAGGAAGACAGAAGACGGTACTTACTTCAGAAGCGACGCAGGAAATCCGAACTTCCCAGTGCCGATCGACGAAATCATGATAAATTGGTTCACTCCAAGCTCGGCAGCTGAAATGACAAAAATTTGCGTCAAGGTACGTAATACACAGCCAACCCAGGACCGATAAATAACGGAAATACAACGACTTACATGCGTTTATCAGATTCTCCGTTGCAACCTTATCCACGCTGTACGGCCCGGAGACATTGAGCAGATTCTCGGATGCACCAATGGCGCACACAACCTTTCCAGCGTTGCCAATAGCTTCCTCAACTGACTCCGGGTCAAAAATGTCGAACTCCACAAGCTCCACATCGGCCTCTTTCCCAAAAAACAGCTGCAACAAAAAAAAGCTGTCCGTTAGAATTGCTCCGCAAGTGGCCAAGGGATGTGCACATAAGATTGTCACTTACATCAAAAAGTCCCTTCTTAGGCGGTGAAGGAAGCTGCAAACACCAAGACCGAGGTACGACTGGAAGGTAAGAACTACGGTAAACGATAATTGGCAATGCGAACGACTTAACAAAACTGCAACTTACATCAGTGAGGACCTCGTCTGCCTTAGTAAGGCTACGCACTCCGGCTCGGACCTTGAATCCAGCCTTGATAGCCTCCCTGTATTAGAAAGTGGATATTGTGAGGTCCCAATCTGGTTGCATCAAAGCTAATTGCAACCTGAGTGTGAGTGTAGTGTATACCTGACCACACGAGAGCCAACTCTGCCAGTTGCCCCGGCAATAAACACAACATTGTCGTCACGGGAATTGTTGTCAGACTTGGCAGCACCGAATAAATTGAAGGGTGAAAACACGAATTTCTGGGTCCCCTTCTCTTCGACCTCCTCAATCTCCTCTGTTACTTTCTGAGTACCCTTGTCTCCTCCCCGGAAACTCCATGGGAGCTTCAACGTTCCTTCCGACGCTGCAGGTTCAGCCGCTGCAGGTTCCTCCTCCTCATCATCCTTTTTCTTCGGAGAGAAGAGGCCTGAAAGCGTACAGAAAATGGTTGTGAGTGTTTGAGGACGTAACTACGAGGGCCTCGCGTGCTCGTTGAGACCTACCTCCGAATCTCGCACGGCAGGCAACGACTGGTCGGGCAGATCTCACAGCAAGTGCTCGCTGACCCTTCAGTGAGTCAGCGAGGCTGAGATAGCCACCATAGGTGGATTTTGAAAGCACCTTTTCATTCGCGCCGCTATGCAGAGCAGTTAGGGTTACTTGGCCTGTGGCTACAAGCGTAGCATTGGCTGCTGCCAGGGAACCCATTTTCCCTGATGAGTGAGCAACTCACTCACTGGAAAGCTGACTGCTCACTGCTGAACTACGGTTTGGACCAAAGGCCTTCACGAAATTCTCAAGGTCCAAAAGATGCCTCTGATCAAGAAGTGCTTCTGAAATTGGAGATGGTCGTGGGAAGGAATTGTGATGGGACGAAGAATCTGGACCGCAGCCAGCCGCCACTGACTTTCGTCGCAGGAGATTACGGAGGGGTGTAGAGGGTCGAAACTGGTGGTGATCGTTCACTCCTGGCACGAAATGATCCACCTGGATGCCACGTGGACATTCTTCGTATTGAAGGCCGTGAAGATCTCTGTAACGAGTGGAAATGGATGCCCAGGTCTGATCCGCCAGCGATGTCATGGACACACAAACCAGCCTCATTTTGTCGCCAGCCATTCAACGATGTCCCAGAGACAATGTTCAGCTTCCATTTTGTTACAGACACGCTCAGCAAGCTGAAAACACGTTCAGCAAGTGACTAGGCTTCACCATAAAGATTACATCAGATCAGATATTATGTTACATTCTCCTAGGATCCCGGCTAAGACCTTTTAGACGCAATTCCCGTATGTATGCTTTGGCAAGGGAATACTTATTGATGCCAAGAGAATGAAGCATTTGCCACGTGTATATGCCGCTCGTGTGCATATCATCAAACAATACCCTAAGGGAATGAAATGAACCAGGCAGCACGAAATTAGGAAACAAACATTCCCATAGCTTACAGAAAAATAGACAACTGCCAGCTCTGGCACTAACCTGATGGCATAGTTTCCCACAGGTTCCACTTTGATAACGTGGACATACCGGCGACCAGATAGAATCTGCCAAACAGTGAGGAACTGGTACCGTACATTAGATTTTCTGGCAAACGCTTGCTAATGTAGGTAAGGCAAAGAGAAAAAATCCGCAAGGGGGGCGGGGCAGGGGAATTGGATGGAGACCTGTGGCAGGCAATAGGATAAGGGGAAGGAGAAGGTGAGTTTAGTAATAAATGAAAAAGCAAGGAGGGAAGGAAGAGGAGGCAGAGAGTGAAAACATGAGCATGTTAGAGAACGAAAGAGAGAGAGAGAGAGAGAGAGAGAGAGAGAGAGAGAGAGAGAGAGAGAGAGAGAGAGAGAGAGAGAGAGAGAGAGAGAGAGAGAAAGAGAGAGAAAGAGAGAGGCGACGACAACGACGGCGACGAGGCGAGAGAGTGGGTGAAGCGAGGATGGGAGTTGAGGGTGGGCCAAAAAGGTGCAGTGCTCTAAGAAAGTCATTGGTTGTGTGAAACCTTGGATGCAGAACCAGCATGCCGGGTTCCCCCTTTGGGTGAGGGGCTGTTCACTCGGAGTAGCTCAGCTGGCAGAGAAAACCTCTGGCCGTTGGCGTACTCAACCAGCAGAGCCTGATAGCACACAGGGTCAACGAGTGGAAAGTCACGGGCCATGACATCACGGCCAGGAAACATGCAAGACTTGAAACATGACTTAGAGAACTACCGTGCAAAGCAAAGACGACACTTGAGCCTGCTGCGAAGAAATTAATCCTAAGTTGAATCAACGATCGCTGTCGACGAGCGCCAGCACCTTGCCTGAGTCCACGCTCTGGATCCGAGTGGGTTGAGGCGCCGCTCCGACGTTGTCGGTACGGTCTGCCCTTGCGGACGGCTGTTGCGACAAGGCAAGAACGGTCCCCGGCACATGTCGCCATGGTGGCTTCAGAGCTGTCACTGTGGCATGGTACACTGAGGCGAGCGACCTCGAAAGCGCTAGCATCCGATAAACCGGCTGCTGTATCTAGGTGCGAGGGTGATCGTCTAGAAACACTGTTCGTTGTTTTGCATGTCCCGAGTGGATTTTCTAACGCTCTGGCTGTTGAAACTAACTACACGCGTTCAGAGCGACGAATCAGACATGTAACATCACGCAGCCAGGGACGCAGGTATCCTTCATTAGGCGCTAGTATCAATCCAGGTGGCCAAGGCTTTGCAGCTCGGAGGAGGGCCTATTCCTACACGCTGGGTCAACATAAGGGCAGGTCCAACAATGTACGTATTCGCGGAAAACCCTACCCAACCATCTGGAGCTCTAATTAGACCGCTCTAGATAGAGTCCGAACCTTTTTGCACCCATTCGGACGTCCTCTTTGGACGCGCCCTAACCGTGTTTGAAAATAGCCAGAGAACGACATGAACAAGCAAAATTTGGACTGTACTTGCAATGTGCAAATTCCGAACTCTGGCACAAAACTCTGCTACAAAACCAAGTCCGACTTTGCCAAGCGCGAACAGGCCCTAGGCGCGTTTCACACCACCGTTAGAACATACCTCATATGACATCGTTCCTTCCTGCCTTACCAGTTGACAACTAGTAGTAGTGTGGCGTTGCTCTCCGTACCAAAATCTCGTGGGCAGCTACTGCTCTAGGTCAGCTACTGCTACTGCTCTAGGTCAGCTACTCCCCCTTGCGATTCAGCTACTGCTCTAGGTCATCGCTCGA